AATAAATATTATAACATTAATATTAATAATAATAATAGTAAATGCAATTCAATAATTTTACAGGCATTTAACAAATTTAATTTCAATTTAATTACATATTTGATTGTGATGAATTCGTCACTTTACGACGAAAGTTCCCGGGCGTATCGTGAAAGATATCTATGTCACTACTTTTTTTACATAGGGTGTTGTACGCGTTGCATATTCTAGTGATTGGTGCATTGCAACCTACATTTGTACGGCAAATTAGCGGAGCAAAAATCCTATGAATTGGCTGCCGTGGCAGCTGGTGTGGGACGACGAGGTTGATTGCTGTCAAAATTTCGCTACAAATAGTGATTCCACGAAGTATTTTATACAGGAACGTCAAATCCATTACCAGTCTACGACCACGAAGAGAGGTCATGCCGAAATAGCGAAGACGTTGGTCGTAGTGTTGCCGATGTGAAATATTAGCAGACACAAAAGCGAGATGGCGTGTAAAGGAACGCTGAATGGTCTCAATTCTTTGCGAGTGCACAGAGTAAAATGGGTTCCATACTGTGGAACAATATTCCAGGTGGCTTCGCGCCAGCGCATTGTACAAAATTATTTTTGTTCGAGGCATGAAGCCTGTGGTGTTGCGCTTGATGAACCCCAGCATCTGCGCCGATTTACAAATGATGTTGTTGTAATGAGGTGTAAATTTCAGCTCGTCGTCCAGCAAGACTCCCAAGTCTCGAATTTTCTGTGTCTGTACAAGAGATGTGCCATTCAGTGTGTAAGTGGATTGGATAGGCAGTTTTTTTCTAGTAAACTTCACAAAGCTGCATTTCTGGACATTGATAGTCATACCGTTATCAAGACACCAGTGTTGTATCCTGTTTAGGTCATGCTGGATCAACATTGTATCTAGAGTACATTTTACATGCTTGTAAATTTTGAGATCGTCTGCGAATAATGAGCATTTACTGTGATGAACAACTGATGTGATGTCATTGATAAACAGTAGAAACAGGATAGGACCCAAGTGAGAGCCCTGGGGCACACCCGATACAGCGCCATATGACTTCGACACATAACCCTTGACTGCCACAAACTGTGTTCTATAACTCAGATACGAAGTAAACCAATTCAACAACGAGCCATGAAATCCATATCCCTCTAACTTTTTTACCAGAAGAAAGTGATCGACTTTATCAAAAGCGCTGGAAAAATCTGTATAGATCGCGTCCACCTCGCCGCCACTGTCTAATACGCGACTGACATTGTCAACGAAGGGTACCAAGTTGGTTTGCACCGAGCGACCACCAATGAAGCCATGCTGGTTATGGGAGATGCAGGAATTCACGTGACGGGCTACAATAGGGCAAACAAGAGACTCAAATATCTTCGAAAAACAAGCTAAGATAGAAATAGGACGATAGTTTGCCACATCACTTGGATCACCCCCTTTGAATAATGGACAGACCCTAGCTCTCTTCCACTCATTTGGAAAGGAACCCTCCGCCAGTGAGTAGTTAAATATGAGAGTTAAAGGATACGCTAGTGAGTGAGCACACCGTTTAATAAAAAGAGGTGGGATCCCGTCAGGACCTGAGCTTTTAAAAATGTCTAGCCCTCTCAATTTTTTCAACACCTCTCGCTCCGAGAATTGTATTTTGCTCGAAAAAAGGCTTGTATAGGAAAACTTCTCGCAGGTACTGCGATTGGCGTCGCTAAATACCGTAGAGAAGTGTTCAGCAAAAAGATCTGCCACCCCCTTTCCCTCGCTACAGGACTGATTGCTAAGATGCATTGTGTTAGGGATAGGTGCCACCCTCTGTCGGGTATTTTTTATGTGGCGCCAAAAGGCCTTTGGGTTTTCTGAAATATTATCTTGAAGATTACGTTTATACGTCTTATAACATATATTATAAAGAAGATGGCAACGATTTCGTAACAAATCAAATTCTATTTTATCTCGAGGGTTCTTAAATTTACTATAGTTACGCCGCAATTTTTCCTTCTCGGATAGCAATTTAATGAGGGAGTGATTGAACCAGGGGGGAAATTTGGATTTCCTGGTCTTATACCTTGGTACTAATTGGGAAATTATTTTCTGCAGTTCACCATAAAACACCGAAACCATGTCATCAACAGTCCTGGAACCAGATAGCATCTTAATCCAGTCTACAGCATATAATTTGGAATTTATTTCATTATAATCCGCCTTAAAGAAATTAAATCCAGTGCGTTTAGTAAAGTTCGTTACATTGTGTCTTACAAGTGGAATCTCAAGTAGCAATTGGGGATGATAAGAATCTAATTTTGTCAGTAGATCTAATGGTTCTGTAACGTATGCATGAGGAATATTGGTAAGTACAAGATCCAAAATTTTCCCGTCTTTGTTGAGAATGTGATTGAGTTGGCTAAGACTGTTAAATGACATGAAATCGATAAAGGAATATTCCAAGGGACCGCTATAATTACTGGGCTTTATGGAATGTCCACTATCCTCTCTAGTCCACTGAATTCTTGGTAAATTAAAGTCACCCAAAATGACAACCTCATTGACATGATTCGTCACGTCGTTGACCTTATCAATGAAGACACTTTGATGTTCCAATTTGGCCGGCGAGGGCAAGTAGACGCAGCAGATAGCAATCTTAAGTTTTTTAGCTCCCGAGCAACAGTCCAGCATAACCCACAAGTCCTCAAAGTCAGACTTCGTCTCCCAGCCATGCACTCGCGCGGACTGGAATTTCTTCTGAACAGCAATCATGACACCTCCGCCGTCCAACTTAGAACATTTACCTTCCCTAAGTTTATTTTTCATAAGTCTATCTTTAGAAACACATACACGATCCCTTCGATAAACCACATATCTATCGTCGACAAATTCACCACACTCTACACCAGAATTCAGCCATGTTTCCGTGAAGACAATGACATCGTAATTACACTGAGCGATATTTTTGTACACCTCGTTTGTCTTAGTCCTGATTCCACGTACATTCTGATAGTATATGTTAATCACTTTATATACACATACACCATAACATTTATGTGCGAAAGGTACAAAGGTTTATGTCATTAGTTTTAGACTGTCGTGGTTTTTAATCAGAAGATGTTGACATCGCTCATCTTTGCGGACAAACACTTTGCCGTTACGCACCCAAACAAATTTGTACCCTACTTCTTTGGCCCGTTTACGCGTTGCAGCGTGTAGTTGTTTGCTTGTGGGAGTTAAATGCTCAGATACGAAAACAGCCGAACGAGAACCTCCGATTCCAAGGTGATGTGAGCTTAATTTATCATCCGGGGTTTTCTTATTAAAGTTTACAACACTTGCCAGTACAGAGTCTCTTAAACGAGGGCTTCGTAGTTTCACTATAGCAGCCCTTGGCCGGTTATCATCTTTGTTGAATTTTGCAACTCGGACCGCGTGTAAGATGTCCGTGTCGATAAGTGGATTCCCTGTGATCTTTGCAAGTTGCAAAACAATGTTGGGCAGATTTTCATGCCTGTTCTCTGGAATTCCATTGACTTCTATGTTGCATTCACGGAGATTCTGCTCAATGAGGTTCATCCTACTCGTAAGGTCCCGCACCGACGTCTGTAGTTGCGTATTTTCGGTTTGTAATTTGCTCAGTTGTGTGTTTTTCTCTTCCAGGCTACTCTTCATTTCTTCAAACTGTTTGTTGAAAAATGACATAGATTCGTTAAAACCCGCTATTTGTTGGTTGATGCAACTCAGTTCTTTGCTTATAAGGTCTTTGATTTTCTTGTCCAGGATGCTGTTCATTTCCTGATGCAAAATAGTTCTGAGCGTCTCCTCTGTTATGTAGTTTGCGCAATCAGAAGGAGGCCGCTGCCTGGCTCTAATAGTCACATACGACGGCTCATCGTGGGTCTGATCGTCTCCCGCAGGTATATGTGTACCGAAATCAGTATGCGCCGCCGCACGAGCAGGTGTGTTAGTGTTGTCAGTTTTAGGTAATTTACTGCGACATTCTGAACATACCCAATTTTTCTTCCGGTCTTGATCTAGTAGTAGAAATCTTTTAATAGACATATTCAGGCAGGCCAAGTCGTATTTGCCCCTGCACGTCGTGCAAGCCAAATACTCCCTATTATGTATTCCTTGTCTACATCCTGAGCATATTATGTTAGTAGAGGTAGAGGCCATGGCGCGTGCGAAAGCGCTATATATTGATGTTTATTTTTGGGGGTCTGTGATCAGCAGTGGACTTCCTCCAGTCGATGTTAAATTCGAAAAAATAAACAGCAAATCACTTTGGTGCAGCGGTGTCTCCCCAGAGGCAGCACACGTAGGCACAATTGTATGACCGCTCTGCGTTGCGTATTCTACACAGAGAGCTGCAGCGACGTCACAGCCGTGTCGGTTCACGCTACTGTCGCGGTTATGCGTATGGCACAAGGACGCAATTCCAACGCGCACTTAGTTGACCACTTGAGACGTCACACACAATGCACACGTCGCATTGACCGCTATTGGATTTTTAGATTGGATGGTTAGAGCAATGGCAATGCTACGGTGCAGCATGGACGTGAGTTCAAATCCCACCAGGTCGACGATAATTGTACTGTGCACAACTTCAATATAAGATGGACGTTATTTGTTGTATGTTTACGTTACCTAGTCGCTTTAAAACAAACGACCTCAAAATTAATTAATAGGGGAATACTGCCTGTAGAGGATAATAAAATTCAAGCTTGAAAATGTACTCGAATAAAAAAACCGACCTCTAAAGTCATTCATCCCATAGTTTGCCACCCATAGAGGTAATATTTTCAAAAAAACATACAGTCTAATTAATAAAAAACCTGCTCCTTTTTTTAGGTTAGTCGGTTAAAAAACAAAACGTAGTTGTCAACTTGACGTTGACAGTTGTTATCTTATCGCGTTGTTGCGTTGAGTCGAGTACATGCATGCATATGTTTCCTATTGTATATTTCACAAATTTGTATTAAATTGAACATTTCTTATGCTGTATTTATATACATCTTAAATAAAAATGTTTAAAATACCAGATTGGGAGGCGGATATTTCAAAAACCCATGTGGATTTCCTTAATAATATTTCGGTAAGTGCGACATAACTTACTTCTTATTTCTTTTAAACTTTTTGCAAAGTATATACTAAAATTATTATTATTATTATTATATTTGTAGAGAATTTTTCTTGATGCACATCAGTGCAGCATGCAGTATCCTTTTAAGACATTGTGTTTTTTGTAATGTTGAATATGATTAAGACATTGATGTAACCTCAAATATAGTTGTTGTTTTACAACTTTTTGGTAGGTCAATGATCTTTACACTAATTTTATATTTTGAATTTTATATCTATTGTTACAGAAAAAGAAAGCAAAACGGCCAAAAGAGTCTAATGCTGTTCAAATTCAGAATAAGAAAAACAGTGTAAGAAATCCTAAAGTTTCCTTAGAAAATGGGAACAAATTGTTAAAAACCAATAAAATTACAAGTGAATTTAAAGATAATATAGCATATACTAAAACAAAATATAAAAATAAAAAGAAACCCCTTAAATGTAAATCACATTTAATAAAGGTGGACAAAAAACTGGATACTGTACAAATACAACCGAAGGTCATTATTAAAAACAAGCAATTACGAAAGAAACAATTAGAAGAAAAGAAAGTGAATACAAAATCATTAATAAATGGCAACATTAACCATTTACAAAAGAAACAAACGCTAAATGTACCTGTGAAAATAGCTGCTGAGACTGAATCTACAAATTTAGAAGAGAAAAATAAATCTCCTAAAAAGCGCAAAGCAAATGATACTATAGTAAATGAACATAATGAAGCTGGTCTTAATGTTAAAGTCAAAGACTTAGATTTCGACAGAGCTGATGAATTAATAGTAAATGCTAAGAAAAAGAAGTTAAATCAAGTATATCAAGAAGAAGACAAGGAAGAGGAATTATTCCCTCAAGAAAACAAAAATAGGCTATATTTGAAGAAACAGAAAATAAAGCAAATGCTGGTCAAGAATAATGTGAACAGAAATTCTATTAAGGTTAATGGGAATGATCTTAGGACACGCATGTTGGAAAGGCTTAAAGGTAAACATTTAAGGAGTATTTATACCAAGTGTCATGGTGATAAACCTAAAGAATATAATTCAATATTCACTCATCTGCGGCAGAGATGTGAAGTTAAGAAATTGGTTAATTGAGGCATAATAATACAGTCACTTACATCAACAACATGTGCTTAAATTGAAAGAAATTAAACCTTTCACTTTTTCATCCTATATCTTTCTACATAATTTTTCAATCTCTTCTGTAACCTAGGAAGGGCACTATAACCTGCAAGCAAGCCCATACTTCTCAGTCAGGTCCAAACCCTAGATAAGCCCGTTTTCACAGACTTCATCTGATTCTCAAAAGGCTAGTTAGTGTCTTAGGTGAGCTGCCCCAGGTGCACATACAGCACCCTCCCTGTTTTCCATATAAGTACCGGAGCTATAGGCATACTCACTTCCTGTTATGCTACTAATGGTTGCCACCATGAAGCTGTTGACTTTTTTATTATCTTGACTTGTTTATTATCGGACAATGTTCCCATTGCCTAGTTCCCATACAAAACACCTGATTATTTTGTCCAACAATGCACTCTGTAAAATTACTGTCATCGTGTGTCATTGTAAAATAATGCCTACAAAGCAAGTGTCTGTTCTACTCCTATAAAAAAAATGCCATGTTCCATATTGTTAGAATTATGCAAATTTATATCAGATCAAATCTATTAATCTCAAAATTAGTAATGCACAGTTCAAGTGAGAAAGATATATAATAATGCACACACTCAACATAACTGAAATACATTATTAAAGTAATATAATACCTGAAAGAGGTATATAGTAATTTAACTAATTAAAAATAAAATGCGTTTACTACTTTTCACACCACATTTTTATCATTGTCCTGAAAAATTACATAGAAATCACATAAAAGGTACTCACTCTAAGACAACGAAATATGATGTCCTATTATAAAAGTATTATTATTTTGTTATAGTTAAAGTATTTTTGTGGCAGAGTATTATAAGTCAATACAATATATTAGATGTAACGTCCTATACTACTACTGAACAACCAGCATTATGTTAATATTTTTCCCCACCTAGCTTCAAGATAGTTTATATTCGAAGAGTATGCACAATAATAATACTATAAACTCATTTACACCAGCTCCCTTCTTGAAATATCAACTTGTGCAGAGTACTAATTGATTGTCAATCATTACAGCGGCTCAATTCAGGTACATAAATGAGAAGCTGTACACTTCAACTGGCTCAGAAGCGAAAGAACTCTTTCAATCCGATCCATCAGCTTTCCAGACTTACCACCAAGGATACCAACTACAGGTGAAGAAGTGGCCCGTCAACCCACTCGATGTCATTGTGAAAAAGATTTTGAAAATGTAAGCTATTTACAACTTTTATCCCATAGATATACTATGTTTAAAATTAATGCTACCTTATTTAATGTGTAAACTGAAGTTTTTTGGATTTAAGTACCACACCTGGTGTTGAATTTTGTGTAGTCAAATGTAATAAAATGGAACTCCACTAATCTTAACACAAAAATACACTCAAATTACAATGAATTTAATTTGCTGTGTAATTATGATTTGTGAGGTTTTGAAGTTTGTAAGGTTTAATTTGGAATGAGCATTGCATAATATTAAACATTTTGTTTGTAGGCCTAAAAGTTATATAATAGCCGACATGGGTTGCGGCGAAGCGACCTTATCAAAGCGAGTTCCCCATGCCGTGAGATCCTTCGACCTAGTGTCTACTACTCCAGGTGTAGAAGTATGTGACATGGCGCGGACACCGCTGCTGGCTGCCTCGGTTGATGTCGCTGTATACTGTCTTGCGTTAATGGGAACTGATCTTACACAGTACTTGGTTGAAGCAAACAGGATTCTTAAAATGGGGTAAATATGTGATTTGCATTTTTATTTGCACCCAAAATGCTCCTCCAAAATTTATTGCCATTAAGGTTTTACCCCTCTCAGCACCACGTGGGCCGACGGCCGCTCACAAAAATTCAATTGCAGCACGCCACTATGTTTCCTCTAATGTTAACCAGCAAGCCACCTGAAGCACTGGCCACACACAAAGACAGTGATGTCACTGTCTGGTGAATGAGGAAGTACCAGATGAACCAGTACCATAGCGTAACTCACATACAGTGGGGATTAGTAGAGTTTTCTATGGTCAACCAATGCAATGGGATTACGGAAGTCTGGCAACGCGCACTTTTTCATTTAAAAATATGTCTGTTTTTGGTGGGATCACGGCGTAATACAGGACCAGCTGGTGAAGCTTAAAGGTCCAGCAGTCCGCATGGCTTGCTACAAAAGTTATTCGAGATCAGACGTGGCGTGCTGTAAAAAAAAGCGTGTCTCGCGCGCCGCCCACATGGCCTGCTACTTCAGAAAAATCGTATGTTCTATGACGTTGAGAGTGTTAAACATAAAAGCCTCTACAGCTCAAAGCTTCTTAACATATCGCACACGATACCAAATAATGTCGTAACTCAAAATTGTGGAATTAGGAAAACACGATTTGAAAATTAAAAAAAAAAAGAATGAAAACAATATATGAAATGTATAATTAAGTATTACATATAAATACAAATCCATTTCTATTTATTAGACATTATTTGGGTTCATGTGCGATATGTCCGTTATACTGCCTTCGGGTTGCCCTCTTTTAAATTTAATTCATCACCAGCTAATGAAATAATGTTTATTTTCCCAGAGGCCAACTTCAAATCGCCGAAGTAGAGAGCAGATTTGATAACGTGGAATCGTTCGCCCACGATGTAGAGAAGCTAGGCTTTAAGTTGAAGAATTTGGACAAGAGCCATAAAGTATTTTTCTTCATGCAGTTTGTCAAAATTAGAGACTCGCCCAAAAAGAAAAATAAACTTCCTTCATTAACTTTAAAACCTTGTTTGTATAAGAGACGATGAGAATACATAGAAATGTATAACTTAATCAAAAATGTTTTTTTAACCTAGCTTTTTTAATTATCATTACCCCATGTATGTTATATTTTTCCAAACTCCATCAGGTCATAGGAAGTGAAATAGAGTACACATTTAGATTTTTTTTATAATATCAAGAGACAGGACGAACAAGTCGTGTGCATGATGGTAAGCTACATGCCTGTCCATAACAATTGCAGTGCCACTTAGAGCCTTAATCGCAAAGATCTGAGAGGCACTGCCACTGCGCAGTCTCCCTGAGACATAAATTCACTAGTCCCATGTGCCTGTAATTTCACCAGCACCCTTACCCTTCAAAACCCGAACACAGTAATGCTGACATTACAGCTTGGCGGCAGAAACAGGTAAGGTGACAGTACTTCCCTGGACGACTCTCACATGGAGCTCTACTGCTACTAAATAATGTATAATCTAAACAAAAAATGAGGAATACATACACAATTGAAATATACCAGCAATACGCTATAATAATAACGCACACACTCAACATAACCCCGCACTAGGGAAACCGTATGTGCGGGTGCCATGGACACACACATTTGTATATTTGGGTGTAATTTGTGGTTAGACAAAAGAAAAACTCACGAGAGAAATAAATGTAGGTCATAGAAATATGTCTCTCGGCCCGGGAATCGAACCTGGGACCTCTGCGTGGCAGTCCGGCACCGTTACATGGTAACCGTTCGGCCATTGAGGCAGTTAAATAAAAATGCAAGTCCCATTTAAAAATATATTTATTTCATATTTTGATTCACTTTCTTTTCCAATTATAAACAAACAGAGGCCTTTCTTTGCGGGTTTGGGCATGTTCCATCTAGTAGCTTCCAGCAATTTCATCATCATAATCATATAATCGGTTATTTTCCGACGTATAGATATTTGATAACATATAATATAACTCTACTTCATAGCCAATTATTTTTAAATTTATCTACTTGTAATCTATCACCACGGTATATATACTCGATGTCTATCACAGTACAGACGTAACTTTTTTTTACAAATTATGTGCTTTAAGAGGCCATAATAAGGATTGCAAAAGTATGACAACTTGTATCACGTCAGTCTCAATTTTATGCGTTTAGTTCTTCCATGACATCCTCTGCTTCGGCTCGTAAATTTTCCACTTTTTCTATCAGCATCATCTAAAATTAGTAAATATTTTATTTGTAAACAAGTGCTCACATAATGTATGGACTTACAATTTTTGTTGACATTTTATTAATTTTATTCAGAATAGTCTGTGACTTTTTAAATTTATTTAACACTTTGAGTGGCATAAAATCTACCAACCCATTCCACTGAACAGTTATTGGTACCGTCAAATACTTCATTTTCGGTCGAACGTCACTGGTAGCTATGGTTACCAGTACATTACAGTACCGATTGGTGAACAGTTTTATAACTTTGGTGTTACCACACATATTAACACCAAATTTTTACTAGTATTTCACTGTTAAATACTCGATATCCTAGTATACACAAAAAATATTCACGATGCGTCCCGAACAGAAAAAAATGTGAAAAAAACAGTACTCGTCCTCAAAAATGACTCGCCGCCAGACACAAAAAAAAAACAGTTTTATCTGTTTCATTTTAAATTCAATATCAAGTAGTGCACAATATCAAATATGTATTTTATATTATCCCACTAGAAATGAACCTTTTTTTTCGGATGTAAGGGCGCGTTCAAATAAGCCGCTGTTACACTGTGTTGCGCGGCGGTCACATTTCATACAATTTCTACAAGCGCTGCAACCGCGCGACGGTCGCGCTGCAGTAACGGTCGGTTGCACTCACGGTAAGTGAGGTGCACATGTTAAATTTTCAAATTAATCACGATGGATGAAAATAGATAATGTACAACAACACCCTACAATATGGGATAGCAGTTCCGCCAGTTATTTCAATCGACTGGACAAAAAAGGAATGGGAAACTGAAAAAACATAGCAGGTGAGTCATTTTTAATACCTATATGTGAAATGTGTGTCCCAACTAATTTTACATACAATAACAAGGTAAAAGTAATGTTTCTTCGTCAGAATCCATCGCGTAACTGAGTCGAATGATAAAATATCACTAAAAATTTGGTCGCACTTCAGCAGGGCTACGGTTCCGCGGCCGCCGCGCGGCTACAGTGCTTCTAATAGCGGCTAATTTGAACGCCGTGTAAAAATCGCCGTGTATAACCGCTCTAAATCGTGTGTATTAGTTTTTCGACCAAGCCAATGTTTCGTACCATGGTCACGGCTGACGTGTATACATATTTGTTTAACAAATATACATATACTATATATATTTAGATATGAATAAGTTGTTTCATTCCCCCATGTGTAACAATCGCGAAAACCTAAGAACTCGATATTACCCCGACGCTTATTCAAAATAACGTTCTACCGTAGATTGCTTAAACAACGCTATTCTGCGCTCTACTTTGGTAGGTAACGTTCACTTACTCTAGCTGCACTGATGAGGTGATTGGCGGCTGTCCTGGACAAGTGCATTATGGCAGACGTAAGATCTTCAACATTTGCTTTCGCCAGGTCTTCTATCCTCTTGTATCCCGCTCGCAAGAGTTGCAATGCGCGCGCCTTAAAAGTATTAAAGAAAAAGCGTTAAAGCAATAAAAGCAAGTGTTCGATTTTTTTTATATAAAATATAAGTGCGAATTTGACCTCCATCTCACCTGATGGAAAGTAACGACGAAGTCGACGATGGAGCATGCATACCTAAATAATGCCTATTCACTCTTGCTTTGAAAAGGCCCAAGTTATAACGTTCAAGGAACAATCAACATTCGCTGTCAGGTAGTCCTGTTTGTATGATTTTTTTATATATTCGTTTCCATCAGGCAACTATGACCAACTTAGTCTTCATATATACTATATGTATACAATGTAACATATAGTATATTATAACAAATTGGACTTGTCGGCGACGTATGGCGCAATCTGGTGTCAGATAACCGGACGCGGAATAGCCGATATACGACACCCTTCGGCCAAAACTCCTCCTTCATTAAGGTCGACAAATGTTCAGCCGGTACTCTCGCCAAAATTGAATTAAAATTCATGTTACGTACGTTATTATGAGAACTAATTTTGAAAACAGGTGCCTCTAACACGAGATTGTGATCGCTAGTGACCGCTATATTTACTTCACTTTTATATGAAAAATGTAGTAGGTGTGTGAAAAAGTGAAAAATGTAGGTAGATAACATAGTTCTCATATGTGTTAGTCGAGTTAAATGATAGTTTTTTTTATACTTTTGACCCGAACAGCCGTTGACAGTATTGAGCTACCATAGAGTTGAAATAGTTTTTTTTACGGCAGTATCGATCATAATCTTGAGCAACAATTTTGGTGAAATTACAGGCACATGGGACTTCTCAACTTATGTCTCTTGGTGACAGGCGCAGTGGCAGTGCTCCTCATATCTTTGCAATTTAAAGCTCTGAATGACACTGCAATTGTAGCTTACTATCAGACGATGACTTGTTTGTCCCGTCACATGATATTATAAAAAAAATCAAAAAATTCAAATTTAAAATCGATATTGAATAAAAAATTTACCAACAAGTTAGGAAAGAGCGTTGCCTACCTTTTTAACAGCGGGCAGCTCCATGAGCTGGCTCAACTCGGGCGCAGCACAGTGCTGCAGTCGCGGGGCCAACTCCGCGAAGAGCGCTTTGAAGCTCCACAGCTGTTCCAGCTCTTCACACATTCTGTGCGCGCACGACGCGAACGATGCCGATGACGACATCACTGATTGCACGGTACCGCGGGGTATACAGTACCTGCAAGACAAGTATAGTACACCCGAAAAATAACGTACCGCATTTGTTAAACATTTAGCGAATTGTACACTCGAGTAAACGATATTAATTCCTCAGTCCACAAACTTTATTTTATTCATTAGAACAAATGAGAAGCTGAAATTTAAGTTAGGTTCAAAATGGTATCCATCTGTCTACTTACTTGTCTGCCACAGCCGGGAAAGGAACTTGCTTCCACAGGTCATGCAGCATTAAAGCCAAGTAGAAACGACAAAGTACTTTTTCGGGAACATTCTGGAAACAAAATATTAAAAGAAAATATTCCCGGAAAATTGGAAAAATTTTAAAAATATAATTTCGAGGGCTCATACTATATGTTCTACGTTTAGAAATATCTTTTGAAGTTTTTCTTTGCGTGAATTATAAAATAAACTTGTATAGATAGAAGCCACTTATAGAAACACAAGATTTAAAATTATTTCACAACAGCGAAAAAATACCAATAGAATGGCTCCATCGTATTCGTTCAGTAACTTCAACTTGTGTCAACGTCATATGTGGAAAATTAAAGAAAAAATATTGGAAAAATATCCTAGATAAATATAATAGAATTTTTTCCACCTTTTTTATTTTATTTTTTTACCCAGCACTATTTACATAGTATGAATAATTCGCACCCTTGGTGTAAGACAACATTTACAAAATTACAACTTATTAGGACAGAGGTTTTCAGATTCTATGAACTAAATTTGTTGATTGTTTTCTTTAGTTCGTATATTTTTATGACTTTTATGTGATAAAAGCGCTTTAGACTTCTATGGTTTTGTAGTGCGCATTTCACCTCCATCTCACTTGAGAGAGAGTGACGATAAGGTCGACGATGGAGAATACACACCTACAAAAGGCCTATTCACTTTCGCCTCGAGAAGACTATAGTTATAGCATTCAGGGAATAAATCTGCAGGCACAGAATTCCACTTCGATGCCGTACGCCATATAAAAATCTTAACTTTAAGGTAAATATTATATGTGTCATGTGGCCTGAACTTCATAAATAAAATAAAATAAATACCAAAAAATAGGGGTGTAACCTACGTCTAGTCTCCCAATGATAGAAACAAATACGGGTCACAGATCACATGTGACTTTATTATACCAAAGGCGTTGCAGTTAGTAATTGCTGATCTCGCGAGTACTTAGTAAATGCGTTAAAAGAAAAACGGCTTTTATAAATAGATTGAAATGCTTATAACATAACTGCAGTAATGGCTATAGTGAGTTGTCATGAACGCTGGAAGCGTACACTAATTGAGGCTATCAGCGCAATAGCAGTGTAACCCACATTATTTATTACAATATTACTTTAAATGATACTTAATTATTAAATATTTGAATGTGTTTTAATGTACAATTTTTTTTCCACCCCTTGGACACTTAAGGGTAAAAACTTACTTACAAACTTATTTACGTACGTTACTATAATTACGTACAGCAAGACGCTGTCTATACACGCGCAAATGTGAGCAATGAAGTGGTAGGATTACAGCACAGAACAAAGTAATATTGTAGAAAAAAAATCTGAGTTACACCACTTTTACGCTAACAGCCTCAATTACGTAAAGCCTTGTGTATCTACCTGTCATACAGAACAGTAAGTACTATAGTGCGCGCGGAACTAGCTGGCCGCGCCTTAGGTATGTGAGCGGTGGGACGGGGAGGCGGGGGCACTTGATGTCATTACTCAGAATACTCAGTTCGGCGCCGGACTTCGCGGCGGCAACACATGTTGACAGTTCTGGCTAGTTTAGACAAAACGCACAAGAGATTGCAATGTCAAGATGAGTCCGCCGATAAAAAGACAATCTAAGGAAATAATATTTAAAGTGCATACGTTTTTTAAAAAACGGAAAGCCGATGTCAATAGTTTAGAATATAAAACTGATGCGAATATTCATAAATTAGTGGCAGAAGCAACCGGGATATCAGAACGAAGTGTAAGGAGAGTGATTGCTCAAAGTAAAACATCCTTGCAAAATACAGGGGAAGCAAAATTTAGTTCTCCACGAAGGCCAAAAGAGATAAAAAAGAAAATACAAGTTGATGATTTTGATTTAGGAGTGATAAGAAGAAAAATAAATCAGTTTTATACGGTACAGAAAACAAATCCAAGTCTACGAAAACTAAATGCTGTGTTAAAAGAGGATAATATTTTAGATTGCGGATTAACTTATTTAAGAGAACTTTTGCACAAACTGGGATATTCATTTAAAAAATGTAAATCGAAGAGATCCCTTTTATTAGAGAGACCAAACATTGTTGAATGGCGAGTGAAATATTTGAGGGCCATAAGAAAATTCAGAGAAGACAAACGAAATATATTCTTTTTGGACGAAACTTACGTTAACCAAAGTCATAATGTCCAAAAATGTTGGCAATCTTCGTCGGAGCCTGGTGTTTATGCAGATATAGGCAAATATATATAAAAGATATAGGCGTTTAATAATAGTTCACGCTGGTAGTCGGAACGGGTTAGTTGACGATGCTCTGCTAATTTTTAAATCAGATTCAAAAACAGGAGACTATCATGGAGACATGAACTCTACAAATTTTTACAACTGGGTTGATCGAAAGTTAATACCTAAACTTCCACCTAACTCAGTCATAGTTATGGACAATGCAGCTACTGTGTGCAAGTTGAGAAGAAACCGACTATGTCCTGTATGAAAATTAATATGCAGAATTGGTTGCAAAATCATAACGTGCCCTTTTCTCCCACGATGGTCAAAGCTGAACTCTTGGGCTTGATTAATACGACCCAATCAGAAAAAATATACACGATTGATGAACTTCTGAAAGGTGCAGGTCATACTGTTCTAAGACTACCTCCATATCATCCAGATCTCAACCCAATCGAGCTTGTGTGGGCAAATATAAAAAATTGCCTGGCCAGAGATCACATTAATGCTACATTGGACGAGAAAATTACAATACTAACAAGACTATTTTCTGAATTTTCTGCCGAACAATGGCAAAAATGCGACGACCACGTACAAAAAAACGAACAAGAATACTGGAATCATGATATGAGATATGATACTGTGATGGACGAATTCATTATAAACTTACAAGATGATTCTGACTCAAGTTCAGACAATTCAGAATCAAGTGATTCAGAGGATAATATGTCAGAGTAATTTCATATCTATAAATACAAAGTCGTGTTAGTTACACTAATTAATTAATAATAATTTCATAAATGATTCAAATATGTCGGAAGAATTTCATTTAATTTGTTTTTGGTTTATTTTACTTTTAATTGCAATGTACGGACAACAGCAAGTCCATCAATACATAAATGTCAAATTTATCCAATCAATTTTATACTCTATTCCCTGGACTTTAAGTTGAAAATCAATTGAGGAAATCTGACAGTTTGTGGCGGCCTGATGTGCTGCCGACTGTACATTGCAATTAATTAGATAGGTATAATATAAACTTGTAAAAGTTCAATTGGCTTTAATTTTTTCTTTTCAATAACTGAACAATTATTGTTCACGATATCTCGAGATTGGTCGTCACTGTCTAATCTCATGTGCGTTGCGAGCAGCAAGCAACCCGCCCCCTCACCCCTGTCCCTACCTAAGGCGCGGCCAGCTAGTTCCGCGCGCACTATAGTAGAAATAGTTAGTTCGCATCACACGCATGACCGCTACATGCACAATAGTCCGTACTTAAGCTCAGTCCGCCATTTTCGCTTTGTACGGTATAGTCGTGTAATTCTTTCGTGCAAATTGTCTAAAATCCAAGAAAAGTGCCTTATTGTGCTGTTTTGGATTGCAAAAATGATAGCCACACCAAAAATATAACCCGAGGTGGTATTGCATAGCATCGGTAAGTCGTATTTTAATCAATTTTCAATTTTCTGTTTATCGATTTTTTTTGATACAAGAAACCAGAGTAAATCTTATACCCCTACAATATGGTCGCTTCTTTTTTGGAGAACTAAATTAGTAACTCCAATTCGTCGGCGTTCAGCAATTACCCGCTAGATGGCAGCACATTGATTGAAATTTCAATATAATATCAAAACGTCGTAACTTGCTATAATAGGTATGGTATTGAACTTTCAACGATATGCCAACAGGGTAAAGTTTATATTATGTAATCAATCCAGAATTTCACTGTCACTTATTGGGTACTTAGAGCCAAATCTTTCACAGGTTGTAGACTAAATTTAATTACCGTGATAGGCTTTCCAGTCATCATGCGAATGGCGTTCATTTCAGTTATGCCCAGAATTTTGGCTGTTTGTACTTCTTCTTCGTCCAGATTGCAGTACTGGAAAATTTAAACATAATTATTAACACAATAATCGAACACTAAGAGAAAATCCTTCAATCCGGCTAGATTCGAACCAGCACTTTCTCCCAACTGAACAACGACATAAACCAGCCGACCGAGTAGAGATATCTATGAAAGTTTTTCTTCACTCAGCCAAGCAAAAAGTGTTAGATAGTACAAAAAAAACTTTAAAGTTTGTTTTTGGTAAAATTGTTTGTTGTATGTTATTATAAAATTAATGTTTTGTAAAAAATAATGGAACAAAAGTTATTATTTACGATGCTAGTAATACAGTCTTGCGAGATTGTTATTATTTTAGAAAGAACCCTGTTGATCGAATATATTTAGTGCAGTCAAGTAAATATCTACTTTTTTAACATCGGTTAAAATAAAACGTATATTTTAAAAATGAAACTTATTACATACCAACGAGTAATAATGTCTATAATCCGGTCGGATCCCAGCATAGTCATGTGGAGTGACCAAATACAGCAAATGAAGGCTGCCCATAAGTACGAGCGACTGAGACGCCACTTCCAGGTCTTTGAGCAGTTGCTTCGCGATTGACAACTCCATACAGCCTGAAAGGAATAATAACAACCATTTGTCTCCTATCATAATCACGTGATGAACCATTACAACTTAACGGTAAAAAAGATAGACATTATTAACGATTAACCTGTTTCAAGAAACAAAAGAAAACTTAATTATTATGCAATCATTATAAAGTTATGCAACTAATCTTTTTAATTCCGATGCTTAAACTGAGTAACTGAGTACCTGTATTTTCGGCATCTTGTGTGTGCATACTTTCTTTATACTTTTAGAATTTGCTTGACAAGTTTATGATGAATATTGATATAACGCAAAATATTTGTTTTATGAAATACCTTTGATAGCAGCTTTTCCCAATGTACTAACAGCGAGTTCGCTAGTATTATATACGACGTAATCTCTATTAGAAACAACAGGTTTGTGAGAATCTCTGTTGATAACTTCCACCGCGCCGCCTTTGATTAGCGAACTGATGGACTCATCGCAGAGTTGCTTCACGTCGATTGGGGAGCTGAAACACGATAGAGGTGGTGAGAAACACTATTATAACACTATAAAAGCGTCACCATTCAGGGTTGAAATCAATTTGTCAATCTTTAATAACAAATATACATAAATACTGTAAGTGTCCAAATGGTGACAAACTTACACGGTCATCTGGCTAAATTGGGATTCTGAAGCTTTGAGAAGCTTGTACAAAAAAGTGCATATATTTTTTAAACAACCAACGTTTAAGATCTTGGCAAAATCCAATGTTTTCCTTGATGTTAAAGGAGGAGAAATTTGGACGAAATATTCATTTGAAATAAAGTCGATAAAAATGAAAGTAATTAATTTTCTACTCCGTGAACCCAGTTAAGGTTAAATCGTGCAGTATAGCTGCGCTTGTGTTGACTATTTTTTGTCCATGTAGTTAATTTTCCCACCCTCCCTCCGCTTAAAATTAATAAAATAAATAACATAAGTATTTATTTTATATAACAACATATTATATAATAATCATAACAACTACAGTCACAAACAATATCACCAAAAATATACACGATACGTGATTCACCTCTCAACAAGACATCCTCGGTAGTTGTTGACTGTTCGACGCCCGGCCGAAAAATTGTTCTCATTAAACTCGTTTATTTCTAAAGTATGTGGTGCAGGTTTATTCGTGCACCGTAATTAAACGCAAAATAAGTGCAGGCAATATTTTTTTAATTCTCGCAAATACGGACACTGATGCTAGCGAGCTGTATAACAGTTTTTCTTTGATTTGTTTACAATAGCTCTTTGTTATATTTAAAAGTTCAGAGCAGCGGACTGAAATGGAATTACATATTTATTTTGTCGGCTTAGGCGGTCTTATTCTTATTCGGTCATTTGAGTTTCATTTAAATATGATTTTATTTCCAGACTTTCACTGGCCTTTAGTATAATTTGAAAAACCTAATGAATTTATTTAATTCAAACTTATAATTATGATGTTGGAAGACGCTAAGAATTATTTTAACAATAATTTCGCCGTTGTTCTTTGTGAGTTCTTTCTTTGAGAGTAATGCAAACATTTCCGAGCATGTTAAAAATATATTAATTTACTTCCATTTTTATAATATTGACAGCCTGAATATATTAATTATTGAATATAAAGTTACTTGTCACTGCAGACAGTGGCCATGAGAGTGCACTCCAAGAGCTCTCGAACTAAGGGTCTCGTATTGGCCATCTTGAGAGCTATGGCGCTCAACACGAGTCCGTCGAGAGCCGTAGAGCGGGAGAGCCCGCTGAGAGATGTATGCTGTGCCAGGACGCTCCTAGCGGGGGCCAGTCCGCCGCCCAGAACGGAGCACAGCCGCGGCCAGTCACTCGAGCTGCTTATGATTATGCTCTCGCCTGTATCATATATAGTTTTTTCCTTATATTGTAATTAAGTCTCACCACCATGATATTCAATTATTTTTTGTGAAATTACTCCACTAGTTTGATATAATTATTAATACGGAGATCGAAGACTTAGAAAAAAATTATTCGATCCGGCTGGATTTGAACCAACGTCTTCCAGCAAATCGTGGCAGACGCTATGCCAAATAAGCCACGGAACGAACCAGCGGACCTTACGATTTTTTTCGATATCGCCATTTGTATTATTTTTATTTTTCATTACGCCTGTAATGGCGTAGCATACTGTATATAAATTTATAAAATAGACAATGTATGCTGCATCATAACTAATATAATAGACATTTTTAACGAAATTGAGTTGTTTTAAGCGGTTTTTTTATATTAGTTTTAAGTTTTATTGTTAAGCAAAATGAACGCGATTGACATTTATTAAACAAAAAAAAACTTTAGGTGCGAATATCAAGTGTTATGACGAAGAGGGCAGTCTGTATCTATGTGTTAGTTGTATGTAAAAAAACAAAAATTCTTCTGAACACAAAATGTTTCAAAATTAAACGTACGTATTGGAAATGAAACTATTTTTCCGGATCTTAATCGCGTACATTTGTTGTTCGAACAAATCAACTTTTCGAGCCCTTTATATCACGTGATCAAGGTGTTTAAAAAAACAAATAATCTTATATATACCCCAAAACCCACATATATAAATAAACCCGATAAAATTGGTTCATTTCCAACACAGCGTTCAAAATATCTGTAAACACTTATAGCCCCGCATGAGGGATGCCATGAACACACATACAGACAATCACAAAATACTACCAAAAACCTACGAGACAAATAGATGTACGCCATACAAATATTTCGCCCGGGCCAGGAGTCGAACCCGGGACCAGAGTGGTAAACATTCGACCACGGAAGCAATTCAATCTGTACCCGTATATGTAAATGGTTTTAAGGTAAATTGAAGTAGTTTTCAAGTTGCTGAGTTTATTATCTGTATGGTTAATCACAGAAGCATAAATACAGTAGAAGTGCCTAGTTTGCGTAACACGTGTGCCAACAGTTCACGGAGTTCCGCAAAATTGAACTCAGTCCGCCATTTTCGCTTTGTACGTTATGGTCGTGTCAATCATCTCGCGCAAAACCTCGAACTCTTGCAAAAATGCCTTCTTTCGTTATTTTGGAGTGCAAAAATGATAGTCGCACTTGTAAGATTATATACGGCGATATTTCGTATCATATATCATTATTTTATTTTAATATTTCAATTTTCTGTTAAAAGTAATCTTTCTTTTGTTACAAGAAACGAAAACAAACCTTATACCGCTGCAATATGGCCGCTTCTTTTTTGGAGAACTTAGTAAACATCTCGAATTCGTTCTCGTCATTCAGCTATTAACCGCTACATGACAGCACATTGATTGGAATTTAAATTTAAAATCAAATCGTCGTACACTGGGATATTTGCATTTTGTTACTTGTTATTATACCTTTCTATTTGAAGGTATTAATATGAAAAAAAAACTAGGGAGACGAGACTGAGAAAGCGGCTAGTAAATCGTTACTGATTAAAGCATATACTTTTTGTAATTAAGGAATTATAAAGGTTTTTATTTATTTATATTTTATTTTATTTTATCTACCCGCTTCGGCACTGTGAAAGGGAAGACGCTAAGACCAGCGCGCCCGCACCCGCCGCCGCGCACGCGCCTGCACTCTGAATGAAGGCACTTCCATTGTTTTTTTCTTCCGTAGTTTCAATTGATATACCGTAGTGATAATCGTGATAGTTATAAGTAAACGTAACGACGACCGTTACTGGCGCACCAATGTCGCAGACGCCTGCGCGACCGGCGCGGCCGACCATCTGCCGATACGCGCTCAGCGTGACGAAGTCGCGGCCCACCAGCGGTGCACGAATGATCACCCTCTGAGCGGGCAAGTTCACACCTGCCGCCAGTGTCGACGTGCAGCACAGCACGGATATCACTCCCGACCTAGAAACGTTTTCATCGCGTTAAAAAACTTTAAAGTGATATTTTTTTTTGTTTAATATTACTTTAAATGATACTAAAGTACATAATTCTGTGGCTCTAGTGAAAAGGGGTACAAGTTAAAAATGCCTACTTTGTAAGGAAACGCGAAAAACAGTTAACGCTTAATATCATATTAAGCTTTAACTGTTTTTCGCGTCTCCTTGAAAAGTTGGCTTGAGCCACAGAATTTACACTCATCAGAAGTGTCTAGGGATCGAGGTTTTTTTTTATATACGTATAATAATATATGTATGTATTGATTACCCTATTAAAATGAAATAAAAATATCTATAAAAATTTATTAATTTTTTTTTTAATCATGAAATTTACCAAGAAAAACCATTTGTGTTCAAAAAAAAATAGTTAAAACAGCTGATTTTCAATAATTGGCAAAAATGTGCTTGATCCCTAAATACTTTTGATGTGTATATTTGGATGCTGTTTTCACGTAAAAAAATGTATATAGTATAATTTAAAGTAATATTGAATAAAAAAATGTATGTGGCTGTAAAGAACCATTACGAAATGTACATGAATGCAGAAATTCGTACCTAAAGGCATGCTCCAACAGCGTCCGCTCGTCGCTAGACAGCCCTGCGTGATGGTACGCGACGCCGAACCTCACGGCTCTAGCGAGATCGCCACTAGCACCGTCCGCCCGTAGCGCTGTCTCCAGTGCCTCGCGATCCACACAGCGGTGAGTCGCCATTTCACTGGGATGCCACAAAACAAAACCTTGCGAATTTATAATAGACAGATATTTGTAAAAAAAAAAATACGTCGAGAGTCATAAGGTACATGCATCGAGTATATAACCAGAAATAGAGACGAAATAAGGGCCATACATTCCTGGTAACTCATCAGTGATACATCACTTATAAATATCAATTCTCGTTTGCACTGCAATAGTACAGCGCCAACAACTGACCTGTGTGTACGTCTCCGTATATTCCAAACATATTCTGTTTATTATATTTATTGTAATAAAGATAATATCTCTAAGAATGGCGTGCTGTTCCATTCGGTGATGTGGAGAAAAACAGCAAAACATCTAATTACAGAAGAAACGGAATGAAATTTCATCGTTAATGAAATATTAAATTGTAATTTTCGTCCATTATGGCAGAGCTCAAGTTAACTGGTTGATTTGAAGTGAAACAATTGACGAAACCCGTCAATGTTTCGAATTCGGGTACGGCAGAATAGTTTTCAAACAAATTAAACAACATTTCTCCCTCTCTATTTCTCGTTATATACTCGATGGGTACATGCAAGCGAATCCTTAAAAAAATAACAATAATAATCCCATGGTGAAAACCTATATAATAATATGTATATGAAATAGTGGGTCAAGTCGAGTCAAGTCGTCTCCTTGGTATAATAAAGCCACATGTGCCCTACGTCAAAACTGCTTTTAACACATAAAAGTCGGAAAAATAATACGAAGAATAGAAACAAATTGCGTATATGAGAAAATAGAAATTGTATAACTACTCTTTGAGTACAAAAAACTTGTTGACTAATTTCGTTCGTAGAATTTTGAAATCTCTCTTTGAAATCGCAGAAAAGTTGCAATTTTGCTGATGTGGTCTTATTACACCAAAGGTGCGATTTATTACTTAAGCATTACTAAACTGTTTATGGTACAATAAATTGTTTACATGTCTCATACACAGTTCTCTTTAGGTGACTACAAATTTGCAAAAATTTTGACGATCGTTATATTCACTCGATAATTTGCTGTATTTTAACAATCAATAAGATCTGTCTGCTAACAGATTAGCTCTATTTTATCGATGGTTACTGTCGTCGGTCTGTCGGTCGGTCGATGGTCTGTTAATCATCTATAAAATATATGAAGGTAAAAACCGAACAAATTTATAGGTACATACATTGACCTACCAACAAATGGACGTCGGGTCTAATACAAAAACAACGAAAAAAATGTCCGAAGTTAACCTATACAAACGTAGTGACATGTAACGAAATTTAAAAAAACTAAAACATTTAATTTAAATTGTAAAGTCATTGAAGTACTGCCTAATTTTCCTTGCAACAATTTAAGGGCCCAAAAACACTATATTCAGCTTCTACTGGAAACTTAACAAAATGCACCATATTTAGCTTCGACTAAAAGTTACTTGAACACAAGAGTAATGGAGCAGCCTTTATTGTAAATATTAATTAATATTTATATCGACCAGCAGATCGGACGCGACGTGCATCCATCGGTTACCCGCCGCCCTTACCAGGTCATCCGTCCATCTAGTAGGGGGCCGTCCCACTGAATGCCTTCCGGTTAGTGGTTTCGATTCAAGAATCTTTCTGCCCCAACGGCCGTCAGTTCTACGAGCTATGTACTCTGCCCACTGCCACTTCAACTTGCTAATCCTTCGAGCTATGTCGGTGACTTTCGTTCTTCTACGGATCTCCTCTTTTCTGATTCGATCACGTACAGAAATGCCGAGCATTGCTCGCTCCATCGCTCGTTGAGTGACTTTGAGCTTTTTTATGAGGTCCATAGTAAGTGACATAGGTCACGTAGGTGAAGTAGGTCATCGCTGGCAACACGCACAGCTCGAAGACTATTTTCTTCAAGTACTGCGGTATTGCGGACGAGAAGACGTCCCGGAGCTTCCCGAAATCTGCCCAACCGAATCGGATTCGACTTCGATTGACCTCGTTCTCAAAAGTTGGCAATGCCTAATTGGACGGTTTGTCCGAGGTAGACATACTTGTCAACAGCTTCAAAAGTAGAGGTTCCCACTGTTATAGGGGTGGGTACGACATGGACATTCAACATAAGTTTCGTCTTGTCCATGTTAATTTTTAGACCCACCTGCTGGAAAACTCCATTGAGGTCACCATGCATTGTGCCAAGCTCTTTCAACGGAAAGAAGAATCGTTATTCTGCCATGTCCACGACATCGTCTGCAAATCAAAGGTGAGTGATGTACTCGCCATTAATGTTGATGCCGAGTCCTTTACAGTTCAGTAACTTGAAGGCATCTTCCAATGCAGTGGTGTGGCAAATAAAATACATTTGACACAATGAAAATCCAACCTGACGTTATTTGGGGCAAATGTATTTTATGACTTCTGATAGATAATCACAAGCCGTAAAACAAGTACACCAATATTTCGTTAATTAGTGCTAATGTTTTATAAAAAATCATTTTAAAAATAAGTTCAAAATCAAAGCGACTCTACAGTTTCTTTGTCCTAAATATTTCAATCGTTTGTAGTTAGAACAATTGAAACTAACCAAGAAGTTCATATAAGCTTCTTGAAATTGACACCATGGTTCTCTTTCCATTTTCAATGTGTAGAAAAAGGACAGTTAGCTATATAATTATTTTGTTTGCTTTTGTAGTTTATATTTACAATTCATTTATATATAAATTAAATACTATACAACTGTACAAACTATGATAATACAATATATTTGTTTGGTGAAAATATGACACAAAATCCTGTTTGTACACTTTACTGCAGTAATTTTTACAAGTTATTATTACGTGTGGCGCACTATAAGTTTCCGGAATGAATAAGAAAAAAATACTATAAATGGACAAAAATGAATTTATTGTTTCTCAAAATATTTCCCGTTAGCGTCAATGCACTTTTTCATATGAATGAATCAATTTTTAAAATATTTATGCCACTCCTCCGTGACAATCTCTGAAACATATTTTTCATACTCTTCGACAGCCTCTTAGGTGATGAAAATCGTTGACCGCGTAACTGGTTCTTAATTTTTGAAAATAAATAAAAGTCACAAGGTGCTAGGTCGGGACTGTACGCGGGATGGCTCATAAGGTCAACGTTGTTCACTTTTAAAAATTCATTTGTCTGTCTGGCCGTGTGAGAACTGGCATTATTGTGGTGCAAGATGATACGGCGTTTACGGTTATTGTTACGGTGTTTGTCAATAACTTCCGGCAAACAAATGGCCGTGTACCAATCACTATTCACTCCAAAACAACAGTAGCCACGTGTACAGTTTTTTTTAAAAAAGAAGCAGTTATCGGGTTAGAGGCACTTTCCACGCGCGTCACTATGGTTTGTTTCGGCTCATCTTGAAAGACCCATGCTCGGTTGATGCTTTGTTTTGGGATTGTAACTATAAATCCATGTTTCGTCACCTGTTACTATGTCCCACACCAAATTTGACGCCCCTTCGTTGAATCTGGTAAGCATGGCGTTGCACTAAGGGACGCGATCCGTTTTTTGAGCCTGAGTTAAATTGTGTGAGATCCACTGAGAGCACGGCTTTTTTACACCCAAGTGTTTGTGTTTAGTACTAATTGCATTTGACTCATGTCTATGCCTAAAGATGCCAATCTCATGATATGTCTCATGCCTTTCTGTTTTGATCATACGGCCCACAGCATCGATGTTTTTGTTGTTCACAACAATGGACGGACGACCATCACGAAATTCGTCACTGAGATTCACACGACCGCGTTTTAATTCTGCAAACCAACTATAAATAGTCGTCTTACATGGTGCTACAAAATTTTTCGCTAGCTAAATCCATGGTGGTGTAGACAACCAATTTCTAAAATGACGCCACAATGTAAAAACAAGTGACATTCAGATGAAACAAACTGTATTCTATAGCCAAAGAGTTCCATTTTCAAATCTTGTCATTTTTAAACATTGTTTATGTAAGTGGCCAGTTCCGGAAACTTATAGTACGCCCTATGTATATAGTATTGCATGATTGACAACCGCGCTGTCGGTCGAACAAACGAAGACTGTTGTACGATTGACGCTCTGTATGCGATTTTAACGCCCTATAACTGTGGACACTTTTAGCGCGAACCCGATGTCCATTTGTTGGTAGGTCAATGGGTACATACGCCTAATTTATATTCCACAGTTTCGATCCACAAAAAACACGTGTTGCTTACATTACTTACATCAAAGGTTCGGGACGGGATTCATTGTTAATATCGTTACATACAAAAACATCGTCGTCGACGATATTTTGCCCGTCCCGTTCCCGTCCCGTATACTGCGGCCTTAATTCGTCGATCGCCAAAAAATATGATGTCGATCACCTGTTGCTTACACATTTAGTCATTTGTTTGATCAAATTTATCAAAATCTGTAGACATTTTTTCACGGGCAATCCCCAGTGGCAGGGACCTCATTCTTGAAGAAGAGCTATATTGAAATTCTTAATATAAGTTTATATAGAAAGATCAGTAGAGGTACTGATAACTTACCGTCGTTGCAGCTTGCAGAGCAGCGAAGCCACGTTTTCACAGTTCCGCTTAGTTGGGCAAAAAACGAGGCAGGAGCCCTTTGGGACTACTTCAGCTACCAAGCCCCCCAGCCAGTCGGGGTCCAACCTCGCGCCCGCCGCAGAGTACTAAATACAAATGGTAGGTTTTTAAAGTTTATGCTGTAACGGTCCTAGAGTTGTACTGTAGTCACTTATAATTATTACATCTTCATTGACAATTAATTATACATCGCACTGCGGTCTACTCTACTCCGAGTATAGCCGCCAGACCCAGAAGATGTAGAAGATCTCGATGAGCTCGTTGAGTCAGACGGTCTATAGTTTGCTATAGTATATTAGGAATAGATAGCTAGTTTACAGACACAGTGCTGGTGATCGTTAAGAGCAGCGGTTTCTTTGGGAAGAACAAATTAAAATAGGACGGTGTTTTTTACCTTTGTTAATTTGTACAAAAATTCGTTATGTATGTAGTAAGAACAACATTTATAATTATGGTGTTAGTTTATTGGAGCAAAGCAGTACCTCCCGACATGCATGATGTGCCCTTGACGCGCGTTTTGTCACTGCTTCGAGCAGGAGTTAAAATTACAAAAATTCTGTTGCGTTCGCAACAGTACGGGCTTCGCTATGTCGTGAAGTCTCGGGCACTTAAATTTAGGGGTTTTAACACCCCTAAATTCCGTGTTTGACGACCCAATATTTACATTTACCGAAAAAATGTACCTCTCATAAAATATTCGGGAGACATGTTGTTTCTAAACTATGCGTTGTCATAAACTACCTACAGCAACTTAAGAAAAGTAAAGTTTTCTAAATAACCCTGTCAGGAGTACAACTAATATTGTCTGTCTCATAAGATAAGACTAACTTAAATAAACATAACTAAATTAAGTAAACACGTTCTACAACATGCGTCAAATAGTTAAATTACAATAGTCTCGTAACCCTTAATCCGGCCCTAACGTAAAATAGTAAATTAAGGCACTCAATCACGTCCCTTATCACCGCTTAGAGATGCACACTTGATACCTGTTAACTGTTTTTGATAGCATAATCAGAAGATCGTTTTTTTACTAGTCTATTTTTCAATGCATTTGGAAATACTTTTAATTTATTTTACAAGAATTTACTAACTTTTAAACGAAGAGTACATTTTAATGAGATCAACATTTAAAATGAAACTTTCTGTTAACTTGAGCTGAGTAGTTGAAATTTTAATAAATGTAATGTAAAAATATATAAATCGGTTCTCAGAGGGCTGCAGAACACCTCCACGGTTCGTTTTCTTATTCTTGAGTATCGATTATCACATTGCTAAATTTGATTATTTATTACAATTTATTAAACGACCTGTATTTAATTTACTTTTACTTTTGAATTGCTCATGGTACTTATATCAGACAAGACGATTATAGCGAAACCTATTTCTTTATCATAATTGTCTTTTTAAAATTAACATTTAGATATTTAATAATCAACGATTTCCGACGCGTACGTCGCCGCCGCGCGCATCTCTATGCAGAGTTGCCAACTAAGCGGCTTTATGTGACATTTTGACATTAAAAGCGTCTTTTATTTCTAGAGACAAAAAATTTGCTATTTTTTGGCACGTATTTAATTAGGTTTAATCGTTTAAAATTTAATATTATTTTAATCTTAGTATTCAGGAGTCTTTCGCCTGTACTGTGACCATAAAGTTCTGACCAATTAAATGGACCTTCTGTTTAGTGATATTTGCTTTAGTCTAGTTGGCAACACTTTTTCATTCATAAATTAGTTCAAAATGCCTGGTTGTATGGTAACTCGTGGACTCATGTTTTTTTCGTGTTTACAACACAAAACAACGTTTACTTATTAATTTTCGGGTTATTGAAATAGTGCCGTTATTAAGCAGTGTTTGTGTTAAGCATGGAATTAATAAGTACTTCGTACAACTGGAAGGCTTACTGTGTATTGAAGCGTGCGCCGAGCGAGATGTCATAAATCTTGGTCCGTCTCTTTCTGACTAACAAACAGAGATGACGCCATATTATTTTAGTGTTGCCTAATGTAAAACAAATAAAACTTTCCAATAATATTTAAATATCGTGAAATAATATAAAGACTTTGATTTATTTGCGACCTATTGCATTCATAGTTGGTATGGTATTATTTACAAACATCTTATAATATTCATGGACAAAATGACGTATTGTTTTTATGCCAATTTTTTTTTATAGTCAACTACCGTATTGTATCAAATATCTCACATGGCAATTGTGCGAAAGGGACACACCAAGAAAGAAGATGTCTCACTTGAGCTCAGATCTCTAAGGAGATATTGGTTATTTAAAAAGTATTTTATTGCTATTCATTTAACGTTCATTTTGATATGTCAAAATAATTGCAGTGAGCTTTCCAGTTGTACGAAGTACTTATTAATTCCATGGTGTTAAGCAAGTAAAGTGTATTAGCGTGTTTGTGTGGAAAATCAGCATGTGACCGGCACACCCAGGAATGTGTCTGGAATGTCTGCAAGAGTAAAGGGAACGTGGACATATAAAACATCCTTTTAATTTAAAGTAAGTTCAATGTTTTTTAATTGCCTATTCAAGTGAGAACACGTATTTCTTCTGCGAGTGCCAATGACACGAACGCCGCCTGTGCGGCAGTAGATGTACTAACACGATTGATTCGCTTATTATACTGTTGTTGTACCGCGAAAGATTTAAATCTGGACGAACATTTTTCAACTGCTCTGATTTTACATTTAAAGTAAATAAAACTCCTATATGTAGGGTTCTTAACGTGATATTTTCAGCTATATCGGTCGTTCCGTTCCACCCTATATGTATGTACATATACAGGGTGTCTCACGGCTATGCCACATGGAGGGAAAGTATCTTAAATACCATTGATACAACATTTTACTGAAAGAAGACTTCATTGTGATTTTAAAAACAATTCGAACTGCATTCAAAGATTGTTAAATAATCGCTTATCTGAACCGGGAATCGAACCCGCAAAATGTGAAAAAAAAACCACCTGTAATTTTATTATACTGATCGAAAGACTCAATCATAAGGATTGCTTTCTTCTAAATAACATAACATCTTAAATAAAAGGAAAACTATGAAATTTCACTATAATTTGAAATTTTGTTCAGGACAATGGACAACTTTTTCTCTGACTATGCCGCGCTCATAACAACATACATTATCATTTCAAAGTATTACTAATGAGTTGAAACTTGAAAAATACATATCATTTCCATATTATAAATGCATGATAAAATAATAAGGAAATTCACAAAGAAGTTCACAATCACAAAGCGGCTGGCTGATTATAAAATAATAATTTGAAAATGTGTTCCATTTTCAAACGTCTAATATTATTCTTTTGTTTTTTTTTTAGTGAATTTCTTTTTCGATTTCTTGCATTGCAATTGTTGTGTGAATTTACTTACCATGGCGTATCAACATAATTTGGATTTAATGGAAGCATACTATATGAACCACAAAAACATATCACTAGCTTTGCAGTGGTACCGCGAACGGTATCCCGATAGAGAAACACCATCTCGATTTATTTTGAAAAGGTTGATGGATAATTTGAAAAAATTAGGACGATTTCATCGTTGCGTACCGCAGCCACAGCACCAAATGATAAACGTTAACAATGACGAACTCGACATTTTGATTTACTTTGAGGCGAACCCGAAGAATTCAGTGAGGGAAGGTGAAGAAGAAATTGGAATTTCAAAAAGCAAAATACACCGCATATTGAAAAAATACAAATTCAAATTTATGTTGAAAGGCGATTACTTCAAAAATTACGACCGGGTGATGCCGAAAAACGACTTATTTTCGGCCACCAAATCGAGAGGCTCATCGGTCAGAATCAAAATTTCCTGACTAACGTTATTTGGTCAGACGAGTCAAACTTCAGTAACAATGGTATGTACAACCGGCGTAATAATCGTGCCCAGACAGAATCCCTTACGAATCCGCGAGACTAATGATCAAGTGCGTTTTTCGTTCAACTGTTGGTGTGGGATTGTGAAAAACCGGGTTCTCTTAATACATTTTTATGAAGGACATCTGAACACTGAAAAATATTTAGAAATACTTGAGATTTTAAGGAGCGAGATAATAATCTTCCCGATGCAGAACGACGAAGTCTCATTTTATCAGCAAGATGGGACTCCGGCTCATAATAGTCGGAGAACAGCGGACTTTCTTAATGAACATTTTCCTTCCTGGATCGGTACTCATGGACAAATGAAATGGCCTCCGAGATCCCCGGATCTAACCCCGTTAGATTTTTTTTATAAGGATATGTAAAAGATTTAGTTTACAGGAGCCGGTATGAGAGTGTGCAGGAGTTACAAACTGAACTTAGACGTATTATTTTAGACATTCACCATGAAAAGATAAATAAATCAACAGGAAGCGAAATTATGAAAAGAGTGAGAATTTGTATACTACATAATGGGAGACATTTTGAACATTTGATAACTTAAATTGATTGATTGTAAGTTGCAATGAAATGTACCTAATTATTTTAATTAAATTTCAATTTCATGGTCTTCCTTTTATTTAAGACGTTATGTTATTTAGAAGAAAACAATCCTTATGATTGAGGCTTTCGATCAGTATAACAAAATTACAGGTTTTTTTTAAACATTTTGCGGGTTTGATTCCCGGTTCAGACAAGCGATTATTTAAAAATCTTTGAATGCAGTTCGAATTTTAAAATCAAAATGAAGTCTTCTTTCAGTAAAATGTTCTAACAATTGTATTTAAGGTACTTTCCCTCCATGTGGCATAGCCGTGGGACACCCTGTATAGCCAAGCTGTAGCTGTTACCATTTCTTTATCACAATAGTTAACTAATTAATGTTAGTGATTTTGAGATGGATGTCTTATGGCCTCTCCATACCCGCGCGCGATTCACGCGCGAAGCCGCAAACTACCTGTGAAGCGTGAGTGTGGAACTCATTCGCATAATCTTCGCGGCTCGTTCCCGCTTGTTGTAGGTATTTTGTACCGCGACAGGTTAGCGAAGCGAGAATTTGACGTGAACGCGACAAGGCTCCACATTCGCGTCGGCACAGTTATCTGTAAGTAAATGCCGCGGACTGTTGTGTTTGTTTGTATTTTTATTGTTGACTTGAACGTGCTTAAAATAGCCGTGGATTGGACAAATGATCTAGAACTGATATTTTTATATAGTTGTGGCATTTCTTTTTTCTTTAAAAAAGCGTTATTGCAAATCGCCAAAACGCAAAGTTGTCCCGCAGCAACGACAGCAACTTCGGCGTCCATCTTCGTCAAGCGCCCGAACTATACTGTAAACCAGACGCGCACCTCTGCGAGTGTGGAACAGTGGCAGTTCTTGCCGCGATCCGCACCGCGATTCGCGCCGTGAATTCGCGCGTGGATCGCTCGCGAGTGTGGAGAGGCCTTTAAAAAATGCCTCATAATATTATGATAATAGTCATTACTCACATTAAATGCCAGTTGTCTATCAGGTACAATTTCCATTCCCTCACTACTCCACAGGATCTTGTGCAGTACATCGCCTAACTTGACGTACTCCTTCAGTTGCACTGGTCTAAAGTCTTGCTGGTACACTTCCGCCTTGAGAAAGCGAGCCAGTTCGGGTAGGTTGCCGATTGTCGCGCTCATACCCACGATTTGGATAGCCTCTGTCACAGTGACATAATATAACATAGTTTAATAGCATTACAGAAATCCTAAATCTCAATACTAAAATTTCAAACTGTGACTAAACGGCATGGGAAAGATGTCAAGATAATATTTGAAAATATTTTCGATGCAAACGATATTTCTTTTTATGATACCAAGTGACGGGACGAATAAGTCGTGCGCCTGGTGATAAGCGACACGCCTGTCCATAACAGTTGCAGTACCATTCAAAGCTTTAAATCACAACGATCTGAGGGGCTCCGCCACTGCACCCGTCGCAATGAGACGTAAATTGACAAATCTCATGTGCCAATTTCGCCAGCAGCCAGAATTATTATTGACCGACTTTAAAGAACGGAGGACGTTCTCAATTCAACTGTAATTTCTTTTTTCTATACATGTTACGCGATAACTCCGCATTTGTGAACCGATTTTGATGACTCTTTTTTGTTTGGAAAGAGGGTACCTCAGTAATGGTCCCATTTAAATTTGAAAAAAAAATATTCCACCTCTAAGGGTGGCAAACTGGGGAATGAGTGACTTTTGAGGTCTGTTTTTTAGTACTGTGTACTGAGTTTATTTTATTTTATTTTTTTATTTATTGAGGGACAAACAGTTACATATATATAAAAAAATACATATTTTAAAATTAACTTATAAATAAACCTATAGTCCCCTAAATATATATTAAATAAAACAAAAAATAGGTAAACAGACGATCTGATAGACAATACACAACTACCAGTTATTAATAGATATAGCCATAAACATATAGATATAACACATGCAACAACATCATAACTAATATAAGAAATACAACTCATAATAGAAAAATCATTAAACTATTAACAAAGCTTTGAGTGAAAAAAAAAATTTAAATAAAAAGAAGTAACGTTTTTGCAATCCATCAGTGAACCAATTATACTATTTCTAATTTGTGTTGTAAACAATTTATAATAATAATATTGCTATCACGGCATGCGAGAACCCGGCATTATTGTAAATAACAAAACCAATACAACTTACTGGTAGCAAAAATAACAGTTGATAAGAGAGTTTCTAGAGTACCTCCTCTACCCGGTTCTCCTATCAGATGTAGTTCATCCACCTGCAATAAAATCCACAAAGAAATATCAATTTTACGTCTATATGGTGGGAAGAAAACAAAGGTAGCGAAAGTCGCGATGTGCACAGAGAACGATTCTGACTACTGTTCAAGCAGGCACCCAAGACTGATCAACTGAGGTCTAAAAGTTAATTTAAATTGACTTCTTTAAACATTAAATTAGAAAAGAAAACACGTATTTAATATTACAGTCCAGTCTATTCTTGAATTTGTTCATATTTATAACTATAAGTTAGAAACAAAGATGTATCAAGAACTTTGAACAATGTGTCCACCATTCAATTAAACAATGCTTGTAGGAATTGCTTTACCATGACATAGGAGTTTAAATTTATGTCCTCTTGTGTGCATGTTTCATTGATCAGTTTAAAATTCCTACTGTATTTTGAATATATATTTTTTATGATACCAAGTGGTGGGACTAACAAGTCGTACGCCTGACGGTAAGCGACACTGCAGTGCCGCTCAGAGCTCTAAATCGCAAAAATCTGAGGGAAACTGCCACTGCGTGTGTCACCCTGAGACATAAGTTGAAAAGTCCCATGTAATGCTTCTATTACTGCTTGGCGGCAGAAATAGGTAAGGTGGCAGTGCTTCCCTTGACGAACTCTTTCACAAGGAGCTTTACTGCTACTAAAATATAGCAACAAAAAATAAAAATAAAATATAACACAACTTACCACAATAAGGCCAATTTCATCCAGTCGATTAAATTCAATCAAGCTTCGAACTAACGCCAATCCTTTTTCTATAGTAGCTATGTAAATGCTGTTTTTCTTGCGTCGCTTTTTAGGCGGAATATGACCTTTGCCTCCGGCATATTCTTCAACTAGGAACTCTAGTTGAACGGCGAATGGAGATAGGGACCAGATCTAGATGAAATTCAGAAATGTGGTTATTTTAGACTCTGTATGATTGTACTAAAGGGACTGAAAGATGTGCCAGCAGATTCATGAGTATATTGTAGCTGTAGCTGTGATTAGTGACCAAGAGCCTGCCAAAAACAATTTTTTTTCTCAGACATTCCGTTTTTACCTGTCAGCAGCAGAATAGCAACATTATTTTATATGTGATTTGAATTGTAAATGCACCAAAAACATTAAAGCCAGCATTAATAAATGGCTTCTAAGTATGGTATATTTTATCCCATTATGTTACCATAGGTATATTGGCTGAGATGGCACTCAGATTTCGAGATATATCCTAAAATCTTGTGATTTAGTGATCATTGGAAACCTACGTTTCATTCTATACAACTTAATAACAATCACGAGCCATAGATGTGTGACATTTATTAATTAATAATTAATATGCGCAAGTCGAAGACATTTTAATTAATAAAGTGTATTTTACAATTTAATAAAAAGTTGTGTTAAGATATTTATATTACACCTACACTTAAGATCGATCTATTAATAAAGGCTCAAAAGTCAAGAATGTGATTTGATGTTAATTGAAACAAAAACCACTATCTATGGCATATGTAAGTATATCAAAAATATGGTATAAGGAAAAGATAAAACAATCTGTACTGTGGCACCTTGGAACATAATTTAAACCTAAAATAAAAAATAGGATAAATGTTATTATACCTTCTCCTGTACAATGGCAACAAAAGGCAGTATAAATAGTGCATTCTGTTTCCTATTTAGCACTTCTCGGAGCATAAGCACCTCGGCTACAAGTGTCTTCCCGCCACTAGTTGGTAACGCATAGATAAGGTTATGCCGATTTCTGATTGCATCTAGATTTAAGCACTCTTCTTGCCAATCTGAAACATAAATGTGACTTTGATAAGGTTCATGTATTACTTGTAGCCAAAAAATTTGTCACTAATATTGACATTCCTTAAAATTCTGTGATACAGTGTTGACATTGAAAAAAGTAGTCATTGATTCCCAGATCATAAAGTAATAAAAGATCTAGAATGAATGCTAATATCTATTTATTTTGTTACCTGATGTAGCTAGTCAGCTGCCTGAGTCTGTGGACAACTATTTATTTTTATACAATACTAAGTGTTAGGACTAATAAGTTGTGCGCCTGGTGGTAGGCAACACACCTATCCATAACAGTTGCAGTGTCACTGAGTGCTTTAAATCGGAAAGATCTTAGGCACACTACCACTACGCCCGTCACCCTAAGACTCAGTTCACAAATCCCATGAGCCTGTAATTTCACCAGCACCCTTACCCTTCCAAAACGGAATGCATTACTGCTTGGCAGCAGAAATAGGTAAGGTGACAGTACTTTCCTGGATGAACTCTTTAACTCTTTCACAACAATCATTTATTTATTTTGCTATGGACACTGACTCGCTATAGAATCTACTAAAATCGGAACTTTAAAAAATCCTTATTTCATAGTTATGCAAATTACACTTCAAATCATCATGTTGATTAATTTCTACTACTCATTTATTAAGAGTCTCCATTGAGACGAATGGTTAAGAAACTCCAGGAGTTGTTCTTTGTAAATAAACATTTCTATACATTGATCATTTACATTACTTATTTCAAATTCCATATGTTGAAACAACCTGTAAGAGATAAATGGGTCACCATGGATTTTTTGAAAAATTACTAGATGGTAGGATAAATCTTTCCGATGTTGTGACTTGGCCATCCAATTGGCCATCCCTGACACAATTATGTTTTATAATGTAAATGTTGTACAGTATTGATATTAAATAACTTACCATAAAACTTTTCTATATTCCTATAAGTTTTAAATAAACTTTTTGTTATAATAGGTAATCCATAAAAGCTCTTGTTATCACATAATTTACTTTCCACAATTTTAAGGTTACTTGTCTTTGGTTGATTATCTTTTTCTTCTAATACAATACTGCTTTCTTTGATGTCTAGCAGAAAAGAATCTTTGGTCTCAAATAAACTACTTCTGGCCTGATTTTCTTTACTTTCTAAACCACATATAGATTGATTTACTACTTCAAAAGTGTGTTCAACTTTTTCTTTAAAAGTTTTTTCACATTCTGAAGTCAATAAAGCATTGTTACCACAATTTATTTGACTACATTCCTGGTTCAACTTCGAGTAGAAAATGTCATCTGATATACTCTCTATTTCATTAAATTCTCTACATACAGTTGATGAAACTTCATTTAAAACAGTATTTAAATCTCTACTAACAAAAGACTCCCATTTCTCTATATTCCTTATCACGGAACAGTCCAAAACACCAGGCGAACAAGGGATATTACTGGATATAGAACTCGTGTTCCCGGAGTCACATAAATACTCGATTTGATTACACGGCAGGGGCGGGTCGTCAGGTTTATCAAGTGGTGACATCGGTCTACTATTTGAACTGGCCAAATCATGGTTTTCTATATCTAAAATATGAATATTACGCTGTAACGATCTGTCTATACCAAACCGTCGTTTTTTAGTCATTGACGTATTCTCTTGAAATGTCTTGTTTACAGGCAACATTTTATAGGTTATGCTTAATATTTAAAGAGCAACATTAAAGAAAATACAGAGGATAATAAAAATATTAACTAAAATAAACAAATATACAACACACTTGTTTCACACGCGCCATCTTCAAATTTCCAATTAGAAAATTGACAATCAGATCTTCGTTCCAAAACGCCTTACTTCATAAATCAGCATCCGACTCAGACCTAATTTTTATTCATAATTTTGGCCTGGATACAAGTCTTTTGAGCCATGTCTTCGTTTAATTATGCTTCTGTAAATATGGCCGCCACAAAGAGAATAGGCAATTTGAGGCGGTGTGCTTGGATTGACTCGGGATTCCTTAGAACGGGCCTATACGGGTATTTTGGTCCGAGATTCGTCTATTGTCGCGTTTTATTCTTCGATTAAGGCACAATAGCACTTTCCTATTCCACTTTAAACTAGATTTCACAAAATAATTGAAAGTCAAAATAAAAACGAAACTTTTCCCTCCAAAAGGCCCAGAGCGAATGGACGCAGACCTAAACAAACGTATCCCAAGTAGTGTTGGGTGGGTCATGTCTATAAGTCTTTTCCGTTATAATATAAAAGTAACGGGATTTACTCGTGTAGTATTTTAGTCGGAAGCGGTCCGACTAGTTTCGACCATAATCGATGGTCTTCTTCAGGGGTTGAGTGCAAAGTTCGCGACCGCGTCACGTCTAGCACTGCGCGCTGCGGCTCTCTGCGCGCGCGCCGATGACGCAGTCCGCAGTGGGGAACTCGGGAGGCTGATACGTTGCGTCAGCACGTCCTGGAACTCTTCTTCGCTACTGCTGTCCGTAGGATTGTTGTCGGGAACAGTCCAGCACACAGAGCTCACCACATCGTTACCACTAACATCTGCAGCTGCATACCGAGCGCCATGAAGACACGGCTTCCAGGTCGATGGCAAGCTCCAGCCTCCGTCTCTATTAAAATTTGGTCGCCTACTTATTTCAATAGCCTCTCGGATTTTGCGGGGCACAAAATACTTCTCCCGCGCTAAAACCTTAGCTTTATCAAATCTAATGTAGTGACCAGCACCGGAGCTCAGAAAGTGGTCTGCCACCGCAGATCCATTGACATCTTGGTTCTTCATGGATCGGATATGCTGAGCTAGCCTAGTAGCCACGTTCCGACTCGTTTCGCCGACGTAACACTTGCCGCAGTCATAGGGAACCATATAGACACCGGGAACCCCCAGAGGGTCTTTGTCCTTTGGAGAGCGAAGCAATTGTCGCAGCTGTGTGAGAGGAATATTTAATAATAATAATGAAATAATAAAAACCTCGTAGTGAATTGTTTTAATAACAGGATATCGATAATATGTCTGTTTACAAGAATAACACTATCTGAAAATAATCGTTATCAACAATCATCAAAATATACTAACAACCAGGCAATCTAAAGTAACCAAAGCAAAATTCGACAAGACTTATGAATAAACTACTTAAATGAGTCTAATTACATGAGATATTTGGGCTATTGTATGATTTATAGGCAGAAAAATAACACATATGTTCTACTGCCGCACCCCTTAATGCTGCAGCGACGCATTTTTATCAATACTTAATTGTTCTCACTGTCAATATTTTTGTCAGTTTCATTACAATTAATGCGAATAATTCACTAAAAACATTTGGCCAAACATTGGTTTTGACATTTGATGTACTACAAAAATGGCAAAATGAGTACAGTTGGCATTTAAGACGACGTTACGTATCTTCGATTCCCGTGTTTGGCGCAGACCAATGTATTGCTATCTCTTTTGGCTTACGACGGCACGCAGAAGTTAAACAAAGATAATAACATGTTCATGTTTCAATGTTGAAATGCATCATATACATATAACCTTAGAATAATAACGCATAGAAACCTAGTCCGCACACTCTAAATGAGGCAAATTGAAGCGCGCCCAAAGGGCCTACACGAGCAGGCGGGCCTTCAATGCTCAAGGTCGACTTGCACCGCGAACAGATCAAGAATTTTAGCTAAAAATGACGAAATGTGCGGTAAATGAGTGTAAAAATACGTCAGACAAACATAAAATAGATACTAACATCACATTCCACAAGGAAGTAACGCGTTTCAACTTGTATTTTTATATAAATATTCACTAAAACCGAAAATTAACCTACTACTAAAACTAGCCTACATGAATTTGATTTTTGCCTCACTTGTGACAGATCGTTTGATATGAAACTATCATTCTATGCGTTATTATTCTAAGCATATAACGTCTGATTCAAAAGTTGAAGATACTGAACGAAAACGTTGGAGTTTTTTTTAGATTTATCTTATTTTAAAGCTTCAAACGATATTTCTAAACTAAAAATGCAAAAAGTAAAAACTCGCCGTATATTAGACTTGTGCCTGAACCATAATGGCCTGATCGGTCCTTAGCGGGAGCGATCCTAGTTAGTTCAATCGGTCAACTGAACTAGGTCGGTCTTCTAGTTCATTTAGTTCATCTAGTTCTTTAGTTAGTTAGTTCATCTTGTCCTTACTCGGACATTGAACGAACGCTCCAAACTAGTAATTTTATTCCCATGAACTACTACGGACTTCCAGTATTATGAGGTCAATACTACACTGTACTGTCTGTACTAAATATTTAAAAACACAATTTGTATGCAATCGGTACTATTTGATTTTCCTTCATATTTTAATTAAATATCCAATTTTTTAAATAAGAATTTTAGTTTAGAATGGTGTGTTTAAAAATCAATATTTAGGTACAAATATTTCATATACTGGTATATGTAGGTTGATATTATACATACAGATACCTACCAAAAAATGTTACTTTTTTGCACGCTTGTATTCTAGAACTCTACTCAATGCTCAAGTCAGGATTTGAGTATGGTTTAAAGCACTCGAAATCATACTCAAGTCCCTGCCATTAGGGTCGTAGTTCCAGTGCTTGTGTTTCCAGTACAATCCTGTCTTGAGCATTAATTAAAGTTCTAGAATTACGACTCTTAGGGTCGTATTCCAGGTAATACTCAAGTCAGGACTTGAGTATTGCAGTGAGCACTGAAAATCATACTCAAGTCCTTGCCATTAGGGCTGTATTTCCAGTGCTTGAAATCATATTCAAGTCTGCTCAAATCCTGACTTGAGCACTGAGTAGAACTAGAACTCTACTCAATGCTTAAGTCAGAACTTGAGTATGATTTATAGCACTAGAAATCATACTCAAGTCCTTGCCTTTAGGGTCGTATTTCCATTGCTTGAAATCATACTTAAATCCCGACTTGAGCATTGAGTAGAGTTCTGGAATAGGACCTTTACAACGAGTTGGGAACTTTCAATCGTGCATCCCACTCAAACTTGTACTAAAAGTAGTGAAAGATCGCTATTTGTCCCGCTCGCACCGTTCCTGCTGTATAAAAGACAGGTGAACTATCAACGCAGACAGTTCCTAGTTCGTACTGAATTAAAAATAACGATGAACTATTATAACCGTGCAAGACGAACTAGTTCATGTCTGTCAGTGCAGGGCGGGCATATATTCCTAATAGTTCGTAGTTCATGAACTATACAAGCCTGTAGTATATCTCTCCAATAACATTGGGTCATGAACGACGTCCTTGATATTTCAGTCTTGTGAGACTGTAGAAGTGTTGAGGTATAAAAAGTTATTATGAGCATCCACCACAATACCATACAATGCTTTGTAGTTATTAATAAATAAATAAATAAAATGTTTATTTCAGTAATACAATTAACTTTACATTAACAGTGGATGGTACCTCCTATTAAGCTTATCAAGTCTGAGTCAGGAGGCACCGCTCTTCCATAGCTATAAATGCACACTTAGCATTTTTAACTTATACTTAATTTAGTATTTAATTTTTACATTCCAAACGACGTCAAACGTTAGTTATTCATGTTAAGACAAATAAAATAATGTTTCCTTTAAATAAAATTAGTTATCTTAAGTATTTAAGTCCCATTGATTTTTTCCAACCTTTATAAGTACCTACCTGCAAATTGAAAAATTTGAGGGAATGCTTCGGCTGCAGTACCACCATACTCGTTAGAGCGGCATTGTTTAAAGTCAGGATTGCCATGATGTTGTCCAACCTCTGATAGAAGAGGAACCCTAAGAAGAAGATACCTACAAATGGAGATGTACGTTGTTCGTAAAGCCATCGGCAGCAGCGGTGGAGTGTGATGGTTTTTCGACCGGCGGCGGCGGCGGTATGACCGGAGTGGCATACATTTTTCAGGTACTTAAAAAAACAATAAAACATGTACACAATTTCAACTCTTTTTTACATTTTAACTTGTACTTACCAAGTACTTAACTATGTAGATTGAGTTCGTAGAGTTACTAAAATATGTACACAGAAATAATTTTAATTGTTTGGAAATATTCTATTGAAATATAGTAAATAATTAAGAAAGAAGCTGGTACTTCATTAAAATAAAACAATATTTCGTCACGCCGATTTTACGCCGGTGAAGTGTGGAGAAATAGTCAGCGACCAAACCAAAACATCGGAATTTAGTAGAAGCAGAGCTCCTTGTGAAAGAGTTCGTCCAGGGAAGTAGATACTGGCACCTTACCTATGATCTCCCGCCAAACAGAAATGTGAGCATTAATGAAGAGCATTTTTGAAGGGTATTGCTGGTGGAATTACAGGCACATGGGATTTGTCAACTTATGTCTCAGGGTGACTGGCGCAGTAGTGGTGCCCCTCAGATCTTTGCGATTTAAAAGTATGAGCGACAGGAATGTCGCTTGCTTAGACTATGGAAAAAGTAGGTAGACGCTTGCCACCAGGCGCACAACTTTTTCTTCACGCCACTTGGTATTTTGTTGGTAAATCAATGTTTGGTAACATAAAAAAATGAATTCCGTTTATATAAAAAATGGGGTACCTACCTATATTTTTTCTTGTAACTTTTATTTACTTGATCAAATGAAGATGCGAATGAAGCTTCATACTTGGTACTAGTCTTTTAATTTTGTCGAATATTACTTATTTGACAGTAATTGTTTCGAACGGATGTCGGACGGAAATCGAGAGTAGACCCCCAGGGCCGGAACTGTTTGAGGAGAGTGAACATCCAGGTGACGTGTGGTAATGATGAATGAAAGACGAAATCATACGTATAACAATGATGAATATCTAAGGCCATATATGTATTAAGTGTCATGGAATTATTTCTATCAACTTCAACGTTCTAATTTGCTATCCAAACTTGTATAGCTTAACCTGTGGACGAGTGTACCTACTATGGTTTCCTAAAGTATTGTTAAGGTCAGTAAAGTAGTAAAGCTTTGCCCACTATTTCCACATCTTGTTAAAGGTCATGTACTGAGTAGTTCTCAGATGATCTGTTAGAGTCATATACCAGTGTTTAAATCTCATGACGTGGATTAGCGTGTTCGGAAAGATTAGCAGTTGGTTAATAGGATAGGTACACACGCAAAATAGGCGCTTTGTCGTCGAGTTGCGGATACCAGCCCGTTGCACCAAGTACCAAGTACCAAGTAGGATAGGTAAACCACGAAAGCCCGTCGCATCGGCAGCCACTGCGACTGGTTGCCGCGACACGCGGATTACACGACGACGTCGCCGGTCGCTGCGTCCCTGAGCAGGTCTCTAGAAACCGGAGCTGGCTCGCGATCTTCTCAAAAATGACCGGCGCTAAATATAGGCCCGGGGCAAGACGCGCGGGCGGCATGGCGGGGCGCGGCCGCGGGCTCTTCCCGCGATGTGCTACGCCAGAGCCGCCCCGGTCGCCGCGGACTCCACATTCCAACGTCGCTGTGCTGCCGGTTGAGAAACCAGTGACTGAGTGACCGTCTTCTTCCCGTGCGACGTAAGTGCAGTGACCAGTGCGAGTGCAACCTCTGTGCTTTTGGACTTGCAGTGGTAGTTACGGAAGTTGAAGATGAGATTTTATCTGTGAGATAGGTGGTCTATAAATACGCGCGCGCGGTGTGCCAAATCCGGGCGGTTGCGCGGGCGCCGCGGAAATAGCAGCGCCTTGTATAGTGCGGGATTATGTTACCGGCCACGTAACTCCCGTAAGGGCTGCAACACCGTCGGGCCAGCGGGGATATGTGAACATCATCGAAAACCTTAAAATACACAATATTACATTTTGTTGACCACATTCACACTCTCCTCACAGTTACTTACTTTGAACGTTCATACAAAACTTTTAGACTGATAAAATCGTAAAATGTATTTACTCTTAAGGTTCAGATACACGTTGGAATACACAATTAAAGAATAGACAAGTTTTCAAAAGATTTTTGAAATTTATTTTTTATTTTAACTACGGATAAAAATATTTATGAAACTCCATATTTTGATACCTACTGAGTGGATACACCTATCGACAGATTAATACTAAACAAATAATTTCGCGCTTGTTACATCATCAACATGCTTCACCGAACTTCGTCTTACACAAACACCGGATTCATTATCCAAAAATAAGGAAGGTCATAGAGACCGACTTTGTATTCAGGTGATATGAAGCAACTTTAGTTCTAGTTCTACAAACATACGAAAGTAGTACGGAGAGAAGAAAAACAAAGCAAAGAATATTTAAGAAGATAGATAAATGTATAACGAATAAATCAAAATTTAACGAATTAATGGGACTAAAGGCAAACTGAAACGTGTTCGTGTTGAAATTAAATGTTTAAGTTGGCTAATAAATCTACAGATAAATAAAGTGGTCCATTGAAAATCTAAGTAGAATCTAAAAAAAAATCGTAAATTAACGCTTTTTTTTTCAATTGATGGATTTCTAGCGAGTTAAAACATAAATATTCGAAAGTTAAAAAAGAGTTTGTTGAAAGTTACATAAAAATTAATTGTTGTAAGACCATTTCAAATGGATATAGACTGTATCAACTGGACTTTCACGATTGTTGATCCAGAAAGTATTTGAGTAGGACTAAAATAAATAATTCCCAGATTTGACTATTATTATACCAGTTAATGCAAAATGTTTGTTAAGTAGGTAGGACTTCTTAAGGTAGGAGTCTTAATTAAACTTAACTTAGAACAACTTAGTATTGCAACACTTTCACTCAAATACAAAATCCGTTGAGTCTGTACACGCGTGCCGATCCTTACATAGTAAGCCTCTGTCTAAATTCAAGGCTCAACGAAATTCGAATACTGGGCAACATTAAGTCGGATGCGGCATCCAATTTTACACCTTTCTTTGAATCAGTGCCAGCTTGTTGCGAGGTACGTCCCACAAGAGATATCGGGCTAAATAAATCACCTCATAAACAATAAGCACATTTCCATGTCACGTTCACTGCACCTACGCGAATTTTTCAACATCTGGCAAACGTATTTGGCTGTGTAAAATGATGCTTTCGACGTTTTAATCGCTAACGAAAGATGTGTGAAACTGCATAATACATTTATGCCAATTGTTTACTTATCTACTTATGACATGAAAATGATGAAATACAGAAATACGAATTCATTGTTGGGTACAATGACCTAATAAAAATTTAAGAATTCGTTGCATAATTACCAAGTGTTACAAACACCCTATATATCAAACTGCAATAAAAGTTAACTCCTTCAAAAGTAACAAAATACAAACGCCACATATTTGTTAAATCCGAACAAAAGTGTATTTACGATGTTAAATAAAAAGGACTATTAATTAACAATTGGCAACTAGATTAATCACTCGATTGGCCCGAATGTAAACAAAGTTGGTTGATACAAAAGTCAAAATGGATATAAATAAGAAAACACGTCTATATATAAGACACTCAACCATTTCTATAACAGACGCCACCAAAACCGCGGACAGTTATCATCGTAGGAGATTGGGTTAATTCAATACATTTTCTTTTGCAGACTAACAAACCAACAACATGTCTGACGAGGAAGAATACTCGTAAGTACAATTCTATATTAAAACCGAACTACAACTTTCAAATACGCTATTTACACAAAGCTGTCAACACAAACCATATTCTATTTTATTATTTTCGTCTATATCTTACATATACGAGTCCACTCCCAAGTGTTAATTTACCTTTATGTGCTAACATTTCGCCGACCCTGTCTTGTATATTCTGTCAACCCTCTTTGACCCCTGAGTGTCCTTACTGGTATACGATTAACGGTTTACGATCACCCGTCCAATGTAGTTTTGTGTTAAACCCTCATCTCTATTACAGTGGGTCTGAGGAGGAGGAAGTAGAAGAAGTCCCGGAGACGTAAGTACATCATTACGGCACCAATCGTCTTTCTCAAAATTTAGCTCAACTTAGAAACTGGTTTGGTTTTTGAACACTGCAGCTTATCTGGGGCTGTTACAAACTTTGCCTTGGCAAAACTATCATTTTAAAAATTCTATTAGAGTAAACTGTACATGCTATTAGACCATCAGAGTGAGATTTTTTGAACAAAGTGTGAAGGATTGAGACATTGCAGTTTTCCCGTTCAAAGGCTCCAATTCTTGGGCTTATTGCACGCCCTCACCGAACCCTATTATCTCTTTTGTTGCAGGAAGTAAGTGGCGTGCTACCCGGCACACACACTCACTTCGCTCACTAGGCTAAGTGTAGAGCGTCCCTAACGCTTTTAGTGCTTAAGTCGTCGCTTCTCTTGCTTTCAGACCCTCACCAATCGATAGGTGCAGCTTTATCGCAAAATACGCTTATCTAACATCGTATTCTCGCTCTTAACAATGTAGGGTCGATGTATCTGACTCTATATTAAAGATCAGTCCATATTCATAAGCGTAAGTAAAACTGATCTTCATGTAATTTTGTGAATGAATAATGGTGTGACTGACTTTGGTTGTACTTCAGTTTTCATGTTTTAACACATATAGGGAGTGGGGCACAGTGGATGTTTTTATTTGGTGAGTATTACTGACAAAGGTTTTCGAATTTAATTGTAAAACAATTAATAAGTACACAGTGTAAGGGGGGAGTTTATTTAGGTTTATAAATTAAAGAAATAATATCTACACAACTTTAAAGATAAAAAGCATAACTTGAGCAATACTGGCGTATTGTTTCCGAAATAGGGAAATAATAAACTGTACCATTTTGAAATTTTACAAAATGTTCTGTAACATTATCGAAGAGTATAAATTATTTCAACCCGAATATGTACATAAGCCAAAAGGAACATCAACTAGCAAATTAGGTATCACAGTGTAACAAAAAATACTAACGGTTCTTCTAGAACGTGATTAAAAAAGCTCGTTTTATTATGATTCAACAAAAAATAAATAATAATAATAATAATATGTTTATTTCTCCACAAAAACACGTTCAGAAGGTTCTCAGTAATTTAAGAAACATTAACAGATTTTGTAGGAGCTGGGGCCTGTTAAAGGCTTAACTACATTACAAAAATATGTACATGAACCGCCTTTGACACTGCGGCCGGTCATTACCTGTACACACCAAGTTGAGGCCTAGTAACCTTTGGCAGACGAAACGATAAACTAATATAGGTGCCCTGCGTTCCTCACCTATCGGATTGACCTGCTCAGTTTTACAACTACTAGGCTGTTTAAATGCACAAGGGGAAAGGTCACTGCAGGGTTTAAAGCGGCATATATAAAGGCATCAAAAGTGTTGCCATTATAGAGACTATCGGAATTGCGCTGGCTGCAGAGTATTAGTAATTATTCTACGAGAGACTTCTAGTGTGCTTTCGTAAATCCTCCTTCAAATTTTGTAGGGATACGTCGTAAATCCAGTAACAGCGGTGTTTTTCTTGCAACACCTGTGTTGTATAGTTATTATAATATTTTGACAATTTCTTTTATCTTTCTCACTTCTATCAACATTACGAGTACATTTATTTCGTCCAAATTTCCGTCCTTACAGTCGTTTACATGGCCTTTGTATATTATTGAATAGACAAATAATTTAACATTTGATCCATTGCACCCCAATCGTAACTAATCCACTATGTCCTAATAAATATTTTAAATCTAATCTGAATTTTAAAAAAAGGCATTTGTCACTAAAACTATACTGTTTAGATATTAGATTACTTACAACATGCGCCAACAAGACAAAACGAATCATGAGAAATACTTTTAAAAATCAATAAGAAAAACATTTTGGTACTTGTGTACTTTTTCAAGAGACGACTGCAGCGCATTCTTGAGTGCCTAGAGCTCAACTAGCAAGCAGGGGAATAAATAACCCAAAATTATTTAATTTCAGGCTACCCGTGTGTGTTTATAACGCTACTATTAGCAATATTGCTTTCGATCTGTTCATAAATATTCTATTTATTTGTCGCTATACGAATCATGTTTTAATTATGAATTTATTTCTTTTTCATCGATGCTGCCGCCGATGTGTGTAGACCTGCTCCTAAACAAGAGTAAGTAAAATTTCAAATGGAATACAATTTACGCTTAGCTTTCCGACAATATTTTGGTGGCATAAGCTGTGATTGGCATCTTGATTAACATTATCTAGAATACGATTAACTGAGGTTTCAAAATTCTAAATTTAAATCGCTTATAATGCAGAGTTTGTGTTGTGGATGTGCGAATAATCATCACATCAGCTTACGTCTATGGAACTTGCCTTAGAAGTAGTTCAAGTATGTATATGATAAGCGAAGTAGAGGCTGACTGTTGTTTTCTGTTTCTAGGGGTAGACCGTCGATCGTGTAAGTTGCACCGCTGTTCGTGGTGTCACTAACTGTGATCCTCTCATTAACCCATATGGTGCGGGCACACGGCTTTCCAACTCATTCCTCAAATTCCGAATTTATCGCACCAGATGACTGCTTGGTAAACTAATAACCGAGCATCGTCGTCGGTTGCTATTTTTAACGGTAGTTACGCGTTCTATTTTCGAAACTGTACTCCGCTGCGCCCGCGCCGCTCCGAAAAGAACCAAGATATCGGTCAGCGGGCGACTACATGTCATTCCGCGTTCCTATTCCTGATTTTTTGCTTGAGAGGAATGGCATGATATCAACGCATGATTATTTACCAATTATATTATTGTGGCCGTCCGTACATCATATGCACAGTAATTACATCATTAAGTAAAACCAACAGCAATATAGAACATGACAAGAAACCCTATCCATTTAACGCTAAAATATTTTTCCTACACGATACAGGTCAAGTATACAAAGCTAAACTTAGCTATAGTAACAGAAAATACAATTTTAACAGCGCTGATAAATAATATAATGTGCGTTTACCATAAAAATACTAGATTACTTTAACAAAATGTACAGAGTCACTTGTCTAAGTCCCTGCTTGTACGCTGCTGAAAAAGCGTACCAGCAGACAGTACATTTATTAACGAAAATAATACAACATCAGACAACATATAATAAACAATAGAAACAATCACCGTAACAGAAACAATATAGCCTCTGTATGTTTAACCGTTATAACAACGGTTGTCTAACATTAACAAAAATATTCTTTGAGATTCAACAATAACTGATGAGCTTATGTTTGCAGGGGCGAGGGAGATCCAGAATTCATCAAGGTAAGTTAATTTCGACTCGAAAACAATAATACTCAAGACGTTTTTGCGTTATTTATCTACAGTTCATCAACTATAATTGCAAATATTCATTTATCCATTAGGTTAAACGCAGACTTGCACCTGGACAGCAAACCCTGGGTCCGATTCTTAGTGATATTCTTGATCTTTTGTGTTCTAAACTTACTTCTTACTTACTAAACCTCTAAACTCTATTAAACTCTCGTACAAACTTATAAATTTCTGTGTCTGTATGTATTGCAGCGTCAAGACCAGAAGCGGTCGGACTTGGACGAGCAGCTGAAGGAATACATCAACGAATGGCGCAAACAGAGAGCCAAGGAGGAGGAGGAGCTCAAACGCCTCAAGGAGAAGCAGGCTAAGCGTAAGGTATGGTAGTTCACCAATAACATCTTCTTGTTCTACTACTAAGGGTAAAAGTTATATCATAGGTATTACTTAAACGAAGTCACTTATAATGGAAATTTTTGTCACCATCTATTTGCGAGTGTCAGAGAACCATCGAAAACGGAAACAAATTTTAGGTATATGAAAAGAATAATATTTTGATTATTGGGCACTGGCAGACTCTAAATTATTACTGGACTTGTAACATACTGTTGTAGGTTTTTTTAGATTTTGTTTGTGAGGAAAAATCGGAAACTAGTAGAAATTACAGCGTTACACTTATCAGCTTTCCTTTACTGGTGCTGTCTCTACGGGGATGTAGTGACGAGGTAAAAAAATTACATTTATATATGTGTAGGTATCTCGCGCTGAAGAAGAAAAGCGTCTTGCCCAGAAGAAGAAGGAGGAAGAGGAGAGGAGAATCCGCGAAATTGAGGAAAAGAAACAGCGTGACATCGAGGAGAAGAGGCAACGGCTTGAGGAAGCAGAAAAGAAGCGCCAGGCTATGCTTCAGGCGATGAAGGAATCCAGCAAGACGGGACCCAACTTCACCATTCAGAAGAAGAGTGACAACGTGAGTATGTGGAACAACATAAGGGCATAAACGAAAAAGTATCTACAAACAGACGAAAATAATATACATTTTCTTCTGGTTTTGTAAGACAAGATTACCAAAGCGCCTGAATTTAATACAATGATATATAAATAATATATAATATAGAATAAATAACACTGCGTCATCGTATTAAATACTACATTGATTAATGTTTCTTTATTATTCAGTTCGGCCTCAGCAATGCTCAACTAGAGCGTAACAAGACCAAGGAACAGCTGGAGGAGGAGAAGAAGATCTCTCTGTCAATCCGCATCAAGCCCCTTAACATCGAGAACTTGGGAGTGGAGAAACTGCGAGCGAAAGCACAAGAGCTCTGGGAGTGCATCGTTAAACTCGAGACCGAGAAATACGATCTCGAGGAGAGGCAAAAGAGACAGGACTATGACGTGAGTATTACTCACATAAGTAGGTACGCATCTTGCTAATGATATCCGTGCTTCTGCTTTGTAGTCCACACTAAAAGCTACATTAGTGAGTCACTTATATTACTTTCTTGCTCCCACAGAATCCATAATTATTTTCTTGATTTGACTAATATGATGTTTTGTCAACAGTTAAAAGAACTTAAAGAAAGACAAAAGCAGCAGCTGAGACACAAGGCCCTCAAAAAGGGCTTGGACCCTGAAGCACTCACAGGCAAGCACCCGGTAAGTCTGATTCAACATAAATAACATATTCGTGATCATATTCATATAAGCGATGACAATATAAATTAATGTATGTATATTTTCAGCCCAAGATCCAGGTAGCGTCCAAGTACGAGCGGCGTGTAGACACACGGTCGTACGACGACAAAAAGAAACTATTCGAGGGTGTAAGTATTTTAGAAACTGTACGTACACGACCGCGATGGTGTTTTATGGAAAACTTGAAAGTATAAAATTTGCAAGATGACAAACGGCATATTTTGATTGAATCGCATACATCTACAAGAAAGTAAAAAGGGAAATGGCACTGAATAATTGTAAGAGAAACATAAACTCTATACGAACCTTAATGCAAATAAATAAAATGCACACTTAAATACAGGGCTTGGACACTGCATTGGCCGAGCTTATGGATAAGATGTGGAATGATAGAATGACAGACTTCATGAACCGCACGAAAAGTAAGCCGTACCGAGAGTAAACGTGTGTGACGACATTTTGTTTCCTTACGACGCATGTCATCACGGCATGGTTAAACCTCGATCCTTGTACAAACCACTGCTAGAGATACTTCTTGCTGGCGAAAAAAAATGACCAACCATTATTTTTTTTTTATACTAAATGGCACAGTAAACATGCTGTTTTACCTAAGATTTGGGCTTTCGGTATTTTTTAATCTATTTATCAAAATGTTCATAAATCATCAAACAAATGTCGTTTTTATTCTTTCGTCATCAAAGTACTCTTTAGCAGCGGAAAAGAGCCACGTACTATCCAAGCTCGAATCCCGGTTATATATGTATCCACTGTACCTACACCTATACCATGTATTGACCCCTGTGTTCCATCCTAGGATCTAGAGAAACTGAACAAGGACTTCCTCGAGAAGATGTGGGCTGAGAAGGATACCCAGTTTAAGGGCAGGCAAGCAGGTAAGCTCATAAAATTGGTGCAAATCGAGGAATCTTTATTTTAAACGGATTAATTTCTAATTTATGAGAAAGAACATTTTTATTCCAGATTTTGTATTAAAATGGCATAGGTGGCTTTTGGACTTAATAACTTAAGGGTATAAGCCGTTGTAGCCTCATGTTTTGATCTATCGCTTCTTAAGCAGAGGGCGAGTGTTCGAGTCCGAGCATTCACCTCTGAGTTTTAAAATTTATGTGTGGAATTTAATTCGAAATTTACCATGAGCTTTTAAGTGAAAAAAAAAACATCTTAAGGTAACCAACATACATCTGAGAAGCAATTTTATGATACGTGTGAAGTTCCCAGTCCCATCTCATTGTGAGAGGAGGCCTATGTCCAGCATTGGAACTATATATAGGCTAACTATAATTATTATTAATGGTGTGTAGATAGTTTTGTATTTTCTAGCTAAAATTCTATACTACGTAAGAGTATTTGATGTGATTTTTTTTATATACTTCTGTTAATAACGAATCCATTTTAAAACACTCCTTTTTACATCAAAACCATTTACTTGTGTTCTCCCTGTGGTTATAACTGAAAAATGGTATTTGTGTATACAAAACGTGACTTTGTATATCGTTAGTATGAATTGTGAATTTGACTTCACACGATTTTTTGAGGTTACTTTTTTAGCATGTTTACAACCACATACTGCGGTTGCAGGAAGAGTTTGTTTGATGATAATAAAGATATAAAATATTTCTAAGATAAATAGAATTTTGTAAATTCGTATAGTCATTACCTTTACTGTTTGTTAAGTACAATAGAACCTAAGTTTTAAATTCTTGAGGACTGGAAATATCAAAGGACTTTACTTCACTGAGGAAATTGAAGTAAGTCCTTAGGGAAAATACCGTCTAAAAAGCATAATGCCTAGCCAAATTTCAATAGTCACTTCTGTGGCTGACGAAGTTCGTTCGTTTAAAATAATAAATGACTAACTTTTATCCTTGCGAAAATGGCTCGCCTAATGAAATGACTGTAATAATAGCAAAACTGCCGAAATGGTACGGCGAGCGGCCCGGCAAGAAGAAGGGCGACCCCGAGTCCCCTGAAGGCGAGGAGGAGCTTAAGGCCGAGCCCGAGGATGAGGAACCTGCCTTCGAACCCGAGCCCGAGGAAGAAGAGGAGGTCGTAGAGGAGGAAGAGGAGGAAGAGGAAGAGGAGGAAGAAGAGGAAGAGGAGGAAGAGGAATAAGTAAGCACTTCCAAGCAAATTTTCAAACCTTACATTTGGGTAGAAATGTCAAATAAATCAAATCCATAGCCTCATTTTTCGAAGTTTCTCTACAATTATATTAACAGACGTTTAAACTGTTGAAATATTGAATAAAAGTGCGAATGCTTTTGGCTTTAACATAACGTACATATCGATTAAACAGTTACTAGGGAAATTACAACATTATCACAGCTTACGAGAAAAATGTGTTCTAATTGACAGCCAGCAATGAAAAATAATTAGATATTAAATACAAACTTTAATAAGACCTGATCACGTTCATGATTTGAATATGGACCGAGAAGGAGGAGGAGGTCGTCAACGAGAAGTAGAAATAACTGTGCTAGATAGATACATATATCACTAATTTCAGGATGACTTAGTAGATTTGTGGTGATTGTTAAGAATGACAAATAAAAGTAGATCAAGACGTACAATTACTATTTTAAATCTCACATGGTACATGACCCACAATCTTGTGATTGACATTAACAGCCATAGCGAGCTCGCGCGAAACCGTGCGAGCACTTGTGAGCTTGCGCGAGATGTTGTGTTTCCGTTACTGAGTTATTAAATACTGTATGTAGGTAGTAATGCGCTTCAATGTTACATCAACAAATATTTCAATTCTCGCCTCGCACATCCTCGTCTAGCCAGATCACTTCCACCGAAAATGTACTAGGAGAAATTGAAATTGTCACACAAATTTCAATTCTCATCTCGTTTCGCCTCGCCGGTGGAAAAGCACCATTAGAGTAGTACTCTAAAGTAGTATTTATTTATAAATTAGTGCAGAGAACATCTCTATGCTGTTGGCACTATATCTACCATTACATAATTAGAATCGTGAAGTAGAATCGTATTGATCTATTTATTATCAAAAACAAATGTTAGATAAAACGACGTGCCAAATTAGGAAGCCATACCACTAATTACCGTTTGTCAACGAAACATATTTGGCATCAGACATACACGTGGTTCAATATTGGCAATCGATAGGTGAAAGACCACGCAGTCTTGGTTACAGTGTAATATTGTTTTTAAAACATTAAGCAGAAGTTTGTATGCTCCTGGTTTCTTTATCTCGTATCAGATTTAGACATGTGAGAAAGAGACAACATTAACATACCTGAGAATGTTATTTCATGGAACAAAAGTTGTGGTTTATGATGTTAGTAATTTACTCCAACGAGGATGTCGGTATTTTACAAATAATCCTGTACATCCCGTAACTCAAAATTCTGGAATTGAAAAAACACGATTTGAAAATTTAAAAAAGATACTTAATGAGACCAATAATGTATGTATTCTCGTTTATAAATGGATAATTGAGTATTATGAATAAATAAAATTACGTATTTCATTTTTATATTCAAATTGTCTTTTCTCAAATCCACAATTTTGGATTATGACAGCATTTTAGTTTCATGTGCGATATGTGCTAGTAATATAGCTGCGTTATCTTATACTAAGTATGAAAAACATGTAATTTAGACGCTGTTAAAATAAATTATGTGTATTGGATACTCGTTTCAGATCAGACACCACCACTACGTTGGAAAGAGAGCGCCACGCCGCCTGCACGCGCGCGGATGTACTGTTTTATAACCAATCCATTGACTAATTATAATTTATTTTTATTATTTATACGATACATATGCATCACTAGTTACGGAACATGGACTGTAATCGTCGGCACACCATGACGACGCAATAAACTAATTTATTTCATACATTTCTGGATTTTTAATTTATTTGCAAGCTATATTTTTGGCAGCTTTTTTTACTTCATTCTCCCATGTTACAGTTATAAAACTAAGAGCATTTAATCAACCGGAGGCGCCACGGGTTCTTTCAGAGATTTCTAAAACCAAAACGTCCTGCCACTTTTGCGGAGGACGAGGCAAGCACACAAACAACATCATAATTACTAATGCATTTCTTGGTCATGCCGCTACACTACGAAATTAGGTAACACTAGCGTGACTTTACGCACACAGTCTCTTACACATAGGGACGTCATAAAAAAAACAGTTTGACCGCCCCGGTCTTATGCCTTTGACAGAGGGGTTAGCCTGCCGATGGCGCCTCCGGTTGGATATAAGACGTAGCGAAATGTGTTGTTATAATTTTGGACAGAAAAGTTTCCAATTAATCTGAAATAATTTTAGTCAGAATTTAAACTTTTATTATTATTTTTTTGTAACACATCTTTTTCTAGCTAGTCTCATTCTCAGCGTTTTGTTATCTCTAAATATGACTACACCAAAAGTTCCCAAACTTATTTGTTACGTAGACCACGTGTAGTTTTTTCTGTTTTGATACACTTCCTACCTTTCTTATACAGAATGTTTAGAAATTCATTAACTTGAAATGTGTATTTGATAGCTGACGGACACGGTGCTGCTCATAACTGTAAAGTGAAAAAATTAAAATACATAGCAAGGTACTTTTATTTGTTGGGTTTATTATTCCATTTATCGATCTGCCTAAATAGTATCTACTCTTGTAGACATCCATTTCGCTGCCATGGATCCCGTGCAGATTTTTTCGTAGCAGTAGAGTCCTTGTGAAAGAGTTCGTCCAGGGTAGTACTGTAACCGTACCTATTTCTGCCAAGCAGTAATGTTAGCATTACTGTGTTCCAGTTTTGAAGGGTAAGGGTGCTGTTGAAATTACAGGCACACGGGACTTGTGAATTTATGTCTCAGGGTGACGGGCGCAGTGGCAGTGCCCCTCAGATCTTTGTGATTTAAAACTCTGAGTGGCGCTGATCTGTTATAGATAGGCATGTAGCTTAAAATCAGACGCACGACCTGTTCGTCCCATCACTTAATATTATAAAAAAAAGATTGGAGTCGACTCCTGTGGGTCCGTCTAAAACACTTTGGGAATCATCGGACTATATACTCTATTATACCTTATATAAAATAATAATAAAAAGCACTCAAATTTGTTATCAAACAAGGTTATAATATGTAATTAGCTAACGACAATGACAACGAAAATAATTCTCGTTGTAATTGTTAATACAAAGATCGAACACTCAGGAAAAAATTCCTTCGTTCCGGCCGGATTCAAACCGACGTCTTCTAGCTTACTGTGCCAGACGCTATACCAACTAAGCCACGGAACGAACCAGCGGACCGAATGAATTTTTCTATGTGCTTGCGTCGTACCTTTGTATTTGGTTTTTTCAACCACTTTTTAGTGGTAGCGCCATCTATGAGAAATCTAAGAAAGTTTTATCACCCAGTTAGATATCTTTACAGTTACCAGCCCTGGCGAGAAATGTCGCTATTCACTGTATTTTAAATTTTAATTGAATTGATATTCAATTATTTTTTGTGAAATTATTCCACTAGTTTGTTATAATTATATATTATATTAATACAAAGATCGAACACTCAGAAAAAAATTCCTTCGATCCGGCCGGATAATAATTATAACAAACTAGTGGATTAATTTCACAAAAAATAATTGAATATCAATTCAATTAAAATTTATAATTCTATATATAATTCTATTATAACAGAACTTGTTATTAAATTTTGATATCTATTTTTTGATTCGCCAGGTATGGTACCGAATATCTTTCAGTGTCTTAATACTGGGCTGCCTCCAGAGTTGGTTCATAAATCAAAATATATTTCAAAGTAAATAACTTGTATATTAAGTAATTCAATAATAATAATGCACAAACGACATTTTATTACGTCTAATATATTAATAATTACTAATAATTACTACGCAAATATGTATATTGTTGCAAATAATGAATTACATAATCGAATATTTAAAATTATGGAAGGTTTCAGCGATAAGACATATTTAAAACTCGCTTTTATCGGCCATTTTCAATTTGCAGTATTGTCAAGTTATAGATATACTAAAATTAAAACATAATTTATTATACATTTTTCTTTTAATTTATAAGTTCTCGCACATTGTTGGCTAATGAATTTCATATATATTTTTTTTAATATATAATAGACACACGCTTGGCCACAATCTCACCTGATGTTAAGCGACGATGTGACTGACGAGACGCGCGATATTTGCGTAGTTAAAATGATAGTATAATATTCAGCGGCTCACGCGGCGGGAATGGGATTACTTGGCTTCGGTTGTGGCGCCTTGTGCATCATGTTGATTTTGTCGCCCAAACTCAGCGCCATGCCCTGCGGGTGGATAACAAACACTTTAGATGTAAAATACTCGTGCGTAATTAGTTTAGTCCGGGAAAAAAAACAGTTTTTTGGTTATCGTAATATTTTTTTGTTACAAGAAACGAACGTAAACCTTACACCGATGGAATAGGGTCCGCTTCTTTTTTGGAGAACTAAGTACACACCTCGAATTCGTTGTCGTTTAGCTATTGATCACTAGATGGCAGCACATCGATTAAAATTTCAATATTAAATCAAAACATCATAAACTCCAATAATAGATATTGAACTTTCAACGATATGGTAACAGAGTAAAGTTTAAATTATATTAACAGTCCAGAATTTGTTACTCTTAACTGTGTTCTTTTTCAATTAGAAACTACGACCAATCATTATCAAGATTTCAAAGTGTTTCAAATTATGAATTTGTGGCTTTTGGCGACAGCGGTTCTGATATCGAGGCTAAAGGCACTTGAATTGTTTTTTTATTCCGTGGAGTTACCCATCACTTTCTTGTACTATTTATTCTCTAGTTTAACGTGCACCTTGCACGTGACCTTGTAAAAGCAAAGGAATATATTGTATATGTAAAGAATATGATCCCCATCTTTATCCCATTCTGATATGGATAAAGAGCCGTACATGGCACAATTACATTATGTAGTACCGTACGTTCGTACTAAATAAATTTCATCTCTTGAAATATCAAAATCGTCCTTAGCGAACTGCTCGCTGACAGCCTTTGTTGCCGTTCCGTCAATGTCTCAATAATATGCCGAACGCGGTTTGGTATCTAAAGCTAGGGAGGAATGGAGAGTGACCTCTTTCGTTACTTTTTTATTCTCTGAAATTAATTTAAAAATCGCAGTAAATACTAACATAGATAATTACTATTATGACTTTGTGTTTACCTGACTCTTGGCGCGTATGCGCACATGTCCCACGACAGGTGCACCAGGCTTGTGCAATGGGGTCTCGATGCTGAGGTTGGCCAGGGCATCCTCGCCGAAGATCGATCGCGCATACAGGTTCGCCGCCATGAACCCACATTGCCCTGACAATGCCTGCGAATAATCAATATAGCATCACACACTCGTTCTAGCTAAAACAGTTTTGTACTTCGTGAATGTGTTTGATGTAATTCAATATTCTTAAACAACCCTATCATTTGTATATAGCTAAAGAGTGGTCACTAGAAAAATTGAAGACCCGTATATCTTTTCGTATCGCACATTGGCTTCAACGGTGTGACAAGTGAAAAAAATCACTCTTTTTAGGGTATGTTATCGGCGCATGCAGAAATTTCCCTGATTTTCGGTAAAATATAGAAAAAATATGGCAATATGGTACTACGACTGAAATTACCTAATGTGACTTTTGACAATTGAAATGTGTCATTTTTGCGATGTGTAAATTTTTGAAGCCGGTGTACGACATGTCTAAATAATGTTAAAGATATTCGCATTTCCATCTAGACATTTTAAATGCTTATTGACTTGGCTAGTAATTAAAAAAATATGTATCATCCATACATAGTACGAGTTGACTGCTTCATTTAATTACAGTCTCTCCTAAAGCAGCATAATATACAATAATAGCCACGCTTAATAGTCGGCTTGACGATCGACATAAAACTAATTAGTAGCCAGGAAGCAGAATGCTACATTCCCATTTGCATTTGTTTTAACTTCTTTCATAATAACACGGATACCGTAATAGGATGTTAGCATACCTTATCCGGCGTAAGGCATTTCATATTGGTAGAAGCTAATAGATGATCAAGGTACTCTCGTAGATCTGTGATATTCGTGTTCACCGACACCTGGAAAATGGAACATTGTTTACATCTTATTTACTTTAAAACAAATACGGATTATTTCAATTGATAAAAAACAGTGTTTCATATGTTTGACGTTATAACTAGTTTGCCTATGGCAGTGTTACTTTTCCGTGATAGAATGTCCCTAAGCTATAACACAACACATTCATGGTCCCGCACTAGGCAAGCCTGCGGGTGCTATGGACACACACATTGGCAACCACAAAATGTAGGCCATACAAATATAATAGATGATACGAACGCATGGTGTACTTCTAGATATTGAATGTTTGTGATTATACAAAAAAAAAACATTCTTCTCAGTTGAAATTGATCTGCTAGGGACTGGTGGTTTTTGATTCAATGTAACGGTTTGAAGTGTAATTTGGTTACCTACGAAATAAAGACACTTGATTTGATTTGATATTTGAGAGTCTGGCGACCCGTAACACAGCTTGTCAAACCTACCACGGGCGCCAGCCACTCATTTAAGTAGTCGATATCACGAAATTGCATTATGTCCCATAGATTTAATTAGCTCTTAAGCTGCTTTTATGAGTGAACAAAATATTTCTCCCGGCCCGGGAATCGAACCCGGGACCTCTGCGTGGCAGATAGCATGTTAACCGAAATCATTTACAGTTAGGGAAGATCTAGAATTCTTCAAAGTGATACCTTGTTCTCCCATTCGAATTCCGCCCACATTTGTCTGAAATCAGTGTCGACACAGTGGGCTGGCTGGATGTAGTCGACGATGTCTATGTGAATGTCGTTCAGAACCACGACGCCACGGTCCAAGCCCGCACCCGAGACCTCGTACACTATTCAAACCATTTGCATCAATAGGTTATAAGAAATTATCATGTTAATTTGAACGCATGCATGCTCGCAAGGTCGAACGCGGTTACGCATATTCATAGCGTTAGCGGCCAGTTACACGAGAAGAAAGTTTTCCGCTCAGTTACCATGCCTTCAAGTACATTAATGGCGAATCTGAATTCTATTTACTAGGCAACAACATTTAAATTTCTCTGAATAACACAACCGCGCGGTCGCCGCGTAGGCTAAATTCAAACCAGTCCCGCCCGCGTGCCCGGGACGCTCATTTAAGTTAAAACGTAAAAGCTAAATAAATAGAGCGCATTTTGCCATGACAGATAGACGCACGCGGTCGCTGCGCGGCGGCAACGCGGACTCCGCTCGGCGACCGCGCGGCGGCCGAGCGGGGTGCGCGTGATGAATTCGCGTCGAATAAATGCGCCCTAAGGGTTCTTAACCCGTAAGGTTTCAGTTTGGAGTACAAAGAACCCCATTTGTTAGCACGCTTCAGCACTGCATACCTAGTAAAAGGCGTTTTATATGAAGGTCAATTGCACACCCGACACTAAATAGAGCTGTATCGACTCCATTGAACTAAGCGGGGTCCAATATTAATTACTTAGCACACTGAAATCAACGTACTCTATATGAGTATGCTAATGTTTCCTCTCCTGATTGCATCCGTAACATGTATAAAATATCCAGAGTAAATGTTAGTGTTACCGACAAGTTTCTTATGATGGAAGTGAATCTACCGATCATCTCGAATGAACTGTATGAATTAAATCGAATTATCCCTATACAGCAAATAGAGGGAGATATGACAAGGACAGTCATTCCTACATCCGAATACATGGCAGTCAACATAAGAAAGGATTTATTAATAACATTAGACAGTGACGACATGAGGTCATGTGTACATTTAAATGAGAAACAAATAATTTGCTCATTAAACTTGCCCATTTACGATATAAAGGCGGCATCAATTTGCGAAGCTCAAATCATAAACAATAGGAACATATCAAATTGCCGCATAGCGTTATCACAGTGCCGGCACGAGTGGATCCAGTTGCACAGCCGTGGCGCGTGGCTATTCTCATGTTGCGAAGAATGCAGCGCGCGCATTTTTTGCCCAGCTGGAACACTGACCCAGATATTACATCACACAGGTGTCATAACATTATCGGAAGGATGCATATTGAAAGAAAACAACGTAATTATCCATTCACAGAACAACTTTCAAAGTGAAATGAAAAGAAATGGATATGAGGCAATGGAGCTACCGCAAGAATCCGAAGTCAACCAAATCATTGATGGATTGAATATAACACTTTTTCCTGAAAATCATGAGGAACCTTTGAAGATATTGAAAAGGAAAATTGACGTCGTCAAGACCCAGCAAGAAGCAGTAAACACCCAAATCGACAGTCACGATACCCAACATTATATTACCTACATTATTTTAATAACAATTATCGTGACACTAATATCTGTTTGGGGCGTAAGAACAATAAAGAAACGCCGCCAGACACGTGAGGTGGAGATGCCGAGACCAGCTCTCCGAGCCGGGCCCGAGGCAGGTCCTCGAAAGCTAAGCCGTCACCTGTCATTACCACGTGCCAGGACAGATATTGAAGAGGACATTAATAGATCATCGGAGTCGGCACCAGCTGTTATTTTCCATAAACATGTGCAAGACAAGGCGACGTCTCCTATGTGAACCTAGCTCTTAAGAAACATGCTTTTTTTGTATTGCTTTACATTAACAAATTTTACTTTACTTTTACCTTAATTTTTACATGTTTTTATATCTTTACCTTTTTATATCTTAAGTCGGGAGCATGTACGAGCAGTACATTACATATGTCGTAACTTAACCTAAATATGTTGCTGATCGCGCGCATTGTCGCGCTTACATTTTATGTACAATTACGTGTAATTTTAGTACAATAAAGACCTTCGGACAGTACAGTGCCTTACATATTTTGCATCAACCTACCTCAACCGAACGGTGTACTCAGGGAAACATACAATTCCCATCAACATACATTCTTACGATCATTTTACATTACATACGTTGGGCACGAGCCCCAACAAGAGCGTTGATTCAGCGATCAGAATAATTAATTTCGCTGTAACTTATTCAACGAATGCGTATTAGATAAGCGTTACTACGCGTCTCTATAATAACTGAATGCTGATAAGCAATAACGTGTCAACCAACTACCTAGATCATAGTTTTGGCAAAATGGCACCATATAAAAAAAGGTGTGAGCGTGTGTGTGTGTGTGCGTGTATGTGCGAGTGTGCGAGTGTGCGTGCGTGCGTGAGCGTGTCGCTCACTATGCAAAGCTACTATTTGCTGCTCTTAACATAAATGCTTCCCCAGTTTAATTAGTATTTTTATTTATTTAATTATATGACACAGTTAAGCTACGATAAGGTACTCACCGATGTTACCAAAGATAATGCCGTTCTCCGTAGAGGCTACTTTAACATGAGCCTTAATTGTTGCAAAGTCCCTCGGCGCCAGTACCACGGCGGCGGGTCGTTCCACCAGACGCAAATCACCGAGTGTCGCTAGCTCTACTGTGCAGTTTTGGAGTGTATCATCTGAAAGAAACGATTTGTTTAATTTGCATTTTACCCAAACGTTTCATCGAGTTCAGAGCGCGATTTATTTCGTGCTCTTGGTATAATAAAGTCACATATGTGATCATACATTTATAGTACTTTTATCGCATTAAAGTCATAAACATAACACGAATTATATGAAACAAATTATGTATATGCCCAGGAATGGAATTCCCTGCCTGCGACTTTGTTTCCGAGCACATACAACCCGAGTATCTTTAAGATGCGACTGAATAGGCATCTTCTGGGCGAGCTCGTTCCATCGGAGATCCTATCTTTGTTCCAGAGCTAGGTAGGGTCAAGAGCAAGTTCATTTAATTTTAAAAAGGTGAAATATTATAGCTCTCCTACTTAAGCATAAAAAACGCATTGACTAATTTAGTTCGCAGAATTACTAAACTTCTCTCCTGAAAAGTTGTCATTTTGTAGATGTGGCCTTGATATACCAAGGGTGGAATGTATTGATTAGGGTTTAACAGCTGAAGTTGTTACTATTGGGAATAAAAATAAGATATGTGGACCTTTATTGAATATTCGGAAAAATGCAATAATAATCATAATGTCATGAAAACTTGTAAACATATGAAACGCGCAATTAAGGTGAGGCATTTGAACGCGGGCCCAGATTTTAGGTGAGGTGTGGTTGGTCGCCTCTCGCATCTCGCGCGCTTAAAATTAATGTAAATAAAATAAGCACTGGCGGAGAAAATTTGACACAGATCCGACATTGGCCCAAGCGCCCAATGGCGACTGACGGGGAAGCGGGCGGCGCAGCATGTCGTTAAACCGCTGGGCAATTTTAAAATTTTGGTATAAATTTGAATTTAGTAATTACATAGGGCTTTAGTTGACAACCAAAAGTTAGCAGGTTCTCTGTCGCACTTCAACGAGAAATATCTCCGTATAAAATTTTAATATAATTTTTTCCCAAATTTAGCCTAAGACTTATTATGTGTTATTTATTAATATGATAAAATATATCCTATCGTATTAATAAATTAGCATATTCTTTACATGAGATTACCTGAGCAAGAGAAAGAGATAAAGAAACTGAAAGGTAAGCTCACCGGTCTGGTTCACGACAAGTACATCGAGGACAATATCATACTGATTGACGGCCACGATGGCTTCGGCGTACACGGGATCGGAGAAACCTGTCAGTTGCGTCACCTTCGACAGCTTTCCGCGGTCCTCGCCAGATCCGCTACCGCGACCTGCAAAGATTTAGCTTAGTTAAAATACGCAGTCTCAAAGCAGGTTCCTAACTCTACCGATATTTTTAACGAAGTTAATGCTATAGCAGCATTATAAATGTATCTCTCGTGGCGTGTAACTATCATGTTGGAGTATATACTATATATAACTCTCGTGGTTACTTGTTATGGGTGACGTAGGAGCGGAATGGCTGTCGTGAAAACGCTGGACACATAATCATATTATTTATAAATCAATCTGCAATGTATACCTTATTTCATTGAGGTCGCATTACGTCACTGGTTCTTAAAAGCGTACAAGTTTAAATAATAAAATATTTTATTTTATTGAATATCATGTTTTTACTACCATGCTGGCCTCGAAATGAAAAAAGACACAACTGCTGTATAAAGTACGCATAGTTGTGCCTTTTTTCATTACGAGGGAAGCATGATATTCATATTATATTTTTTACGAAAATACTCCACTACTTTGTTATTATTATTGATACAAAAATCGAACATTCACAAAGAAATAATCCTTCGATCTGACTGTATCAATAATAATAATAATGAAATACTGTATAGTTGTGATACTTGAAAAGGTATCCCTGCGGTGAGAAGATTATTCAAAAATCTCTCATTAGATGTCACTAGTGGTGACGTATGCCGAAACGTCAGTATAAAGATCTATAACAAAAACACTTAAAGAAAATTTCGACGACTCGGTAACTGGACTTGTGGCTCAGTTGGTTAGAGCAATGCTATGGTGCAACATGGACGTGGGTTCAAGTCCCACCACGTGGAAGACAAATTTTTCTGTGTTCGATCTTTTTAACGATTATAAATCGTAACAAAACTAGTGGAGTTATTTCTTAAAAAATCTCAATAAATAAAATATTACTCAATTTCCTTACATATGTACAAAGATCAGGCGCTTACCTAAAAATACCATAAGTCAAAAGGAAAAGGCTACCTTGTAAAGCTTTAGAAAGTGACAATTCAAAGATATCGTGATGAGAGACGGCGGCGCCGCCGCCGGCCAGCGCTGCGAACTGGATGCCCGTCTCGATCTCCACCTTGCGCTCTGTGCGCTTCGATTCACGATCCTGAAAAGACACAAAATGAGATTTTCAGAATCTGACCAAAGCATTCGACACAGTTGCTATCACAATTTTATGTGACAACAGAATTTGTACGGAAGTTGATTTTATTAAATGAGTTCAGTGATACGCGTTCTTTAGACACACGGTATCCCTAACGGTTTTGGTATTGTAGCGTCCTAACTTCACATGGTATCTCTAACACACAGCTGTGTTTTTGAACACTATTTTTTTGAAGTACATATTTTTTTATCAGAATCGTTAGGGGCACCGTATGTCTGTAGAATGCGTGACGAGTTAAAAAAACGTTGTTCAGTACAACATGAAATTACAGACGTACTTTTTTAATAATTCATTTCACTAGCAGCAGACCTTCTTCTGAAAGAGTTCGTCCTGGGAAGTACTGCCACCTTACCTATTTCTGCCGCCAAGCAGTAATGTGAGCATTACTGTGTTTCGGTTTTGAAGGGTGCAGGTGAAATTACAGGCACACGAGACTTGTCCACTTATGTCTCAGGGTGACAGGCGAAATGGCAGTGTCCCACAGATCTTTGAGATTTAAAACTCTACTGATTTATTTATTTATTAATGTTACCAGTAGGTACTAGAAAGTACTTTCGTTTTCAATTTTGTTACCTTATCGATATCATCAAGCAATTGACGGTCAGGTAGTTGTAATAAAGCAGCAAGGGCATCACGAGAGCCACCGAGAAGTGCCGAGCTGATGACAGCAGGTTTGGCTGCAGCGGCGAGAAGGCAGATTGATGCGTGTTCTATATCGTCGGCTGTTAAGCCGCTTTGAGTGTTGGCAGCTGTTGGACACATCAGAGTACGATCGTAACACTTTTTTGAAAGAAGCATTCGACATTCATAGTTGTGTGAAGAAAAACTTTCATTGATTTCTAACAGGTGCCGATAGGGCAAAAAAGCCGTTATAACGAAAAAAAGATCTGTAACAAACACAGGGAAAAATTCCTAAGGTTCGTGTCATAGCTCGTTTGGTTCGTTTCGTAGCTCAATTGGGAGTGCGCTGAAGGTGCTGGTTCGAATCATGATGGATTGAAAGAATTTTTTTAAGTAATTTTTGTAAGTTTTTTTTTTAATAAATGAACACTTAGTAGTTTTTTTGTTATGCAAGAACAAACACTTCTTGTATGCAAAAAAGTAAAGAAAAAAACACTCCCATTAGACGATCACTTTCCAAATCTCAAATTTAAATCCTAAGCTTGCCTTGAAGAAATTGCTACTTAGCAACGAGGCTGCCTGTTGTACGTTAAGTTTATTCCGTGATACTTGACATTACTGTTTTGTGTTGTCATTGTTATTTTTAAAAGAATATATCATTCATTCATTCGCTCATTTTTCAAAAAAGTGTATTCATATTGTATTTGAATGATCTTACCAGCATTCTGCTTGTGGTAGGCCAGCAGTGCAGCGGCTAAATGAAGCGCCTTGGTACTGTCCCGCGTGGTGGGCAGCTTGAGTGCTAGCTTGGCGAGACACGAGCAGGCGCAGGCCGCCGTGAAGCTCTCGCCCTCGCGCAGGGCCTGCCACAGCGCCGGACCCGAACTGGCCTGCGTCGTTCCCGGACTGCGCAACCCAAATATTTTTTTTTTCTACTACTACTACTATATATAGAACAAATGGGAAATGTGACATTAGACAGAGGAACTTTTAGAGTGGAAATTGATTACGAGCGACGCATAATTAGCAAAAATTTAGCAACAATAAAAGATGTAACAGGACAATTTAAGACACTTTGTGAGTACGCAATAACAGTTGACAGCCAGACGCATTGTTCTCAATACTATGATCACCTGCGAGAAGAAGAGAACACATTTCAAAGAACATACGATTACCTGGCTGAAATTAATCACACTAGAAAAAGAAGAGGTTTATTAGGACATCTCTTGACTTCCATATTTGGTGTGAACGATGAAGTGTATAGAGACATTAACTCACTGCAACAAAACCAGCAAAATCTCATAGATACAGCAAATCATCAAACCAAATTCATGATTTCCACCATATCAGCAGTGAACCAGACAGAACAGAGAATACAAGAAAAGCTAGAAAGATTTCGAACAAAGCTAAATCAAGCTATAAGTTACATTAATGATAACAATAGATGGTATAAGTCAATCAACGCGGATCACATACAAATTCAAGTAATGCAGTCATACCAATTAGCTTATAATTACATTAAAGAAATTATGGACTACTACTCAGGACTGATGGAGATATATCTAGCAAAAGCTACTGTATATAGTGTAATATCTCCAAAAGACATAGCTGATATAATAGAAGACGCAAATAGCAAATTACCCTCCAATCTCCACATCATACAGACGCAGCTGATTGACACCAAATTAGCAGAAAATGAGACGCATATCAGAGTACTATCTTACTTCCCGATAGCAGAGAAAGCAAAATACACATTGTTACACGTGACGCCCGTACCAGTGAAACATCCAGATGGAACATTCCAGAGCATAGACCTTTCTCAGCCTTTTATAGGAATAGACTACAATAATGAACGCTACTTTGGACTTACTCATGAAGAATTCAAAAGTTGTTTGCACAGATACAACAACTTCATCTGTTTCCCTGTGGCGGTGAAAAACATGCAATTGAATAAAAATTGCATTGTTAAACTTATAACTAAAAATGAAAACAATACAGACTGACCGACAAAAAGTTACAATTTGACAAGTGACGTAGTATGGAAACGAGTTCAAATGACAAATACTTGGTTATATTTGACAAAGAAATCAAAAACTGTGTCCATTGTGTGTGACGGGCAAAGAGAAGAAGTCTCCATCCACGATGTTGGAATAATACAAATTTCAGAAAACTGCATAATAAAAACAATGACTACCACATTAGCTGCGAAAAGAATTATTTCAACTAATGTTTTAGCTTCTTATAGTAGGACTAGTCAGTTTAAATTAGACTATAACAGATCTCTATTAATTACTAATGACTTTCTAAGGAACAGGTTTTAGATAGCTCTAAAGATATTTTTAATAATTTAGTAAATAAAGAAAATACATTACAAACAACCCTAGACAATACTGTTTGGCGTAGCATAAGTACCCAAACATACGTAGCTAGTTTTACTTCCTTAATAATATTTTCCCTTTTTGCCTTATTAATATACTGTTGTGGTCCACAGATAGCACAAAGACTACGAGCCATGGTAGCAGCCAGACGGTTGGTGACACAAAATAGCAGCAGCGGCCAGACTGCCGACGACAGCACCGAGCAGCAACCCTCCAGCAGGCCTGCAACTCCAATTCAGCCAAAGACACAGCTACATATCTAATCACGGCCAGCTGTGAGGAAGAAGTCACCTGCACCTCAACTTTACGAACTGAAAGCCTTTTCGTGAGAGGCGCCAAAATGTTCACGTGCACGCGACGTAAACAGACAACCTGTCCGGACATTTGCTAAGTGATGACAATAGACTACTCAGCAGTGCAATGACCGTTCTAAACTAGGCTGCTGAGTAGAGTATTTAACTTTATGTATACATTTAAAAATAATATTGTTTATAGTCACACACACTTAAATACCGTTTTGTATAAATAGCTTAAGTTTTGTAAATAAAACTCTCTTTGAATTCAGACATCAACGCTGTCTTATTGACAACGGAGCACTCCTGACTACAGCATCCTCTCACTGCGGCCAAGACACCTTTAGCCGTTAGCTTATCTGATCAGTCTTGTGAGTCTGTGAGACTGGCAGTGAGAAAACCATTTCCTAAAGCACCCTTATCCTTCCCCCTTTCCGTCTGTTGCCTTAGGTCGCACGGTGACAGGCTTCCCCTACTATTTATATAAGTATATATTCCGTAGCGTATGGTTAGGGCTAGGCTGTTAGGTAGGCAACTAGGGTTGTTAGTTATAGTACAGCTTTCCCTGACCACTCATGTATAGCCAGCTAGCTACAGCTAGGTAGTTGACTGTACAACCTAACTACTGTTGATGAAGACATGATATCCAAAATTATGGTTGGGATTAAATCTAATGCTGAGGGATGTGATGAGATTACCGCTGACATGGTTCTGTTAACTCTACCTCACACAATTAAAATTATTGAGGATATTATTAATACCTCCATATGAACCTCCAAATTTCCATCAGTCTGGAAATCTGCATTGGTATGTCCAATTCCCAAAAACAATAACCCACAAGATGTAATGGATTTGAGGCCAATAAGCATTTTGCCATATCTTTCTAAAATATTAGTGAAGGTGATGAGTTTACAATTATATAGTTACCTGGAGTCTAACAATATACTTCCCAAGTACCAATCTGGTTTTAGAAAGGGACATAGCACTAATACGGCACTTCTCGATGTTATGGGTGAAGTGCTCGCGGCCCAGGATTCTGGTAGAGGTACAGTTCTTGTTCTTCTGGACTATTCTAGGGCTTTTGACACAATTAATATCAACTTACTGCTATCAAAATTAAGCTACTATGGTTTTAAGTGTACTGCCCGGGAATGGTTCCGAAGCTATCTTTCTACTCGCACACAGCAAGTAAAGTTGCCTAGACCGGACGGTAGCTGTTTGAGGTCAGGTGGACAGGGGAGTACCCCAGGGATCTATTTTGGGCCCTCTCTTGTTCATTCTGTATACATCTGACATTGTTAACTGTTTTAGTTACTGCCGGTATCATCTTTATACTGACGACTTACAGTTGTACTTTTCTTTCTTTCCAAAGAATACTGCTGAGGCCATTGCTAAGGTCAATGATGATTTAAATCGTCTTACCGTATGGTCAGGTAATAACTCTCTTGTGCTGAACCCTACTAAGTCCAAATTCATGATAATGGGATCCAGAAAACAGATTCAGGATATAGAGTCACGTTCACCCTAGGTAAAGGTGTTGAATAGATCTATTGAGTTAGTGTCGGAGGTTCAAAATTTGGGTGTCACTATGGACAATCGTCTGCGCTTTGAGCGGCACGTAGCCAAAGTTGTACAGAATTGTCTTTATAGATTAAAGGTCATGTATAACATTCGTAACTTGATAAGTCTGGACTTGCGGGTTCACTTATGCGAATCTCTTATACTTTCTAAACTTAATTACTGTCTCACTGCCTTTGGTCCGTGTCTGTTGGCAAGAACGCACAGACTACTGCAACGAGTGCAAAATTCATGTGCACGATTTTGCTTCTTAATACCACCTCGGAGCCACGTGACATCCTTCCTGAATAAGTCGAACATGCTGGCAATAGGTGGACGCCTTAAATTGTATTTGGCTGGGCTGTTGTTTGATGTTGTTCAGTCTCACGTACCTGACTATTTGTACGAGAAACTCACTTGGTCATCCACGACAAACTCTCGCCTTAGGTCAAGGTCGACAAGGCTATTTCTGCTTGCAACCCCCCGGCATGGTACCGCTGCATTTAGAGGGAGCTTCCGTTACTTAGCCACTAGTTGTTGGAACAATATTCCTCCTCCTATCCGTAACAGTGCCTCAAAAAAAACGTTTAAGCTAAAGCTGCGGGAGCATCTGTTAAATTTGTAAAAATTGGGGATATGAGTGGCTAGGGTATTTGCGGTTGTCTCTTGTTTGTCCACGTGCAGAGTCGGGAGCGCGTCATGCTTGATATTTAAGATTTAATTTCAACTCTGTGCCGCTTGCGATAGGAACGGTCCAAGGTCCAAGGTGGCTTGTTATGCTCTTGGCTGTACCTCGTTTCAGGACTGCAAATAGTGTATTATGTGTGGAGGTTGGGAGAAGATTGAAAATTGAAAATTAATAATTTAAAAATGATATCAGATTTTTGTTGGATTGCGAATGGCGTCTCTATCCTATAGGGTCCTGGCAGAATACCAGCGTCGCGGGCAGCCGCGTCATTTATGCTGAGCCAGCGCCTTTTTCACTGCCATGACTTCCAAGTGTAATATTAGTAGATAAGAATATCATTATTGTTATATATAAGTTAATGCCTATATCATGTATCTGATGTCATGGTGGTGAATAAAGCTTTTATCTATCTATCTATCTATCTAAATATGCTCATAAATCAACCCAACTATTCAAAGGTACAATCATCGGCTGCAAGATCTACAGCATCTGCGTTCGGGATCGAGTCGTCTACAGGGTAATAGTTTATTCACGACAGCAATAGCTAGCTAGAGCTAGATAGAATTATAGCCAGTGATGCAACGGAAGTGTCAAAACGGAAACAGATGTAAAAAAGAAATTTTACTAGAAACGGATGCGGAAGCGAAAGTGTAAATACTATAAAGATTCTAATGAAATAGTTACAAACAGAACCTATTTTTTGTTTTTTCGGATAAGATTTTTTTTATTCCATTGAATGTACAATCGCAAAATATTATTGTTTTTGTAGAGCTTTAAGTGCTTTTTGTGTTATAAAATATATTTATTAAAACTTTAAACAGAAAATTTAATTGCATGTACTAACCTAACCTAAGCCTACAGGAGGACGTCGAACCAACTAGCAAATGCAAACAAATTCGATTCTGGCAGCTTTGTCATATACTAAACTTACCTAAACCCACAGGAGGAAGTCGAACCAACTAGTAAATGCAAACAAATTCGATTCTGGCAGCTTTGTTATATACTAACCTAACCTAAACCCACAGGAGGAGATCGAACCAACTAGCTAATGCAAACAAATTCGATTCTGGCATCTTTGTCATATACTAACCTAACCTAAACCCACATGAGGAGGTCGAACCAACTAGAAAATGTAAACAAATTCGATTCATTCACCGTTGCACCTAAACACCACTGGAATTATATTTTTTTTTTACAAATACACATTCAACATTACACTCAGTGAATGTTATATCTGAAGTGTATATATGTATATAATGAACATTATGATGACATAATTTTCATTTTATATGTATATATTAAATTGAAAGTTGTCATATCAATCGTCTATTATACCCAGTGACCTTTATATCATGCAAGTATATGTCAAATGTCTGTATATCATAAATTAATTATTTACACAACAACATTACACTCAGTGAATGTTATATCTGAAGTGTATATATGTATATAATGAACATTATGATGACATAATTTTCATTTTATATATATTAAATTGAAAGTTGTCATATCAATCGTCTATTATACCCAGTGACCTTTATATCATGCAAGTATATGTCAAATGTCTGTATATCATAAATTAATTATATCTGTTGAGTTATATCGACTAAAAATATGTCATTTGTTGTTATATATTACGAATCGCACCCCTTTCTATCATATAAACCAACAGCCCTGATCCATATTTAAGAGTTTAGTAACCAAATGCGACTTAGTACTACAAGTCACACGAATGTTTTTTTAGAGACTGAACGTGGTTAAGCCAGAATTGGGCTCAGTGGCGAGCCTTGTCGGAAGTCTATAGAAATGGAGTACTGTCCTATTATTTTCCTCTATAGTCTGTCCTTTTTTGAAGATGGCGTAAAATGACAGTTCATTGTGCAAAAGTGTTGCCCGCTTGCATGCGGCTAGTGATTGCAGTCAACAAATATGCTATCGACTATCGACTGAATAAATAGCAGAACTTAGTTTATTTTAATCATCATCGACCCATTATTCGTCCAACTCCTGTGCACAGATTCATTTGAATTATCAATTTTTGTAAATTCATACATACATGTACTGCAAACTATATGTATTAAAAATTCAAAGAGAAAACATGTTTTAAAGTTTTTCATTTTAATTCAATACAGATAATTAAATCCGCGGATTCTTATTAAAATGTATATGGGTAAAAATTGATTTCGATACTCGTAGGCCAACTGTCAAAATAAGAATAAAGAAGGCAATAACGCAATTACTAATCATTACCATGTCGTAATATTCACAATTCAGACATTTTTGACAAAATTTTTCCTTCTTTCATAAACCAATAAAACTGTCGACAACACGGCTACTTAAAATTTTATGAAAACTGGCAACCCTACGAATGTCATTTTAGTCCGTCTTTAAAAAATATAGACTATAAAAAATTTACGTATACTTACGGCGGCAGGTTGAACGCCGACTGGGTGGCGTATGTTCCATCACTGGTGACCAGCTGACGTGGTGCTGACGTATCAGGTTTCGCTGCTTCTTTTTCCTCCTGATAATCAATATTATTTACCGTAAACCGTAATTTAACTATTGTTTTGTTCTGTATCAATAAAATAGGTTGATTGTTCTGGTGAATTATAATTTTTTCATAAAAAAAAACTGACCTCAAAAGTTTCCTTGTCCGCTTTCACAGTGCTAATTGCCAAGTTTTAATGCTATCGGTTAACGGAAAGTGAATGACATCTAATATACCAAAAAAATTACAGAATTATCGAAACCTCTGGTCCTTAAATGTCGGAGTAATCACGTAACATATATATACTAAAATGCAATTGAATTGAGTACCTCCTCGTTTCTGAAGTTATAAATGATATATCTTTCTGTGATACCGATACACGTGACACCAACCATATATTTTTTGTAAAGTTAATTCAATTAAACCTTTTGTGCAAGTAGTAAATTGTAATGATTCATTTTCGAGTTGCAGTCATACCTTGTCCTCGTCACTGTTGCCGCTGAGATCGGGGATGACTGCCTGCAGCGCATTCAAGGCGGCCTGCGCACGCGCAGGGCTGTCGGCGAATTCGGCCAGTAGCCACAACGCCGAACGAGCCACTTTGCCCACGCGAATGCCTGACACTGCCTCCAGCAGGCGCTACCAAACATTCGCATTCGTTAGCAGGTCCACAAGAGTAAAGCTATGTATTGTAAAGCATTAATCAGTACCAGCTCTAAGATGACGTCTGCACTTAATTGCGACTTTTTTATATTCTTGTAGTAACCAATAAAAGTAAGCCCCAACTCCTGGGACCTAACTATCACTTTGGAAGTCAGTCTGACATTATGTCAATTATATGTTCAATTATTCAGTTTAAAGGCCTCAATACATACCTGGTATATCTGATCTCGAAGATCGACGAAGGTATGTAGCGCAGATCTGAGGAACAGCATGACGTCAGCAGCCGCCGGCTCACTTCCGTCTCCGAGGAGTTCTAGTAGAGCTGGAGCCACGCTGCCTGCTACTTCGGGAAACTGTATACGTAATCAACATTATTATCATTGCTAAGGGGGCACTCTGCTAAACATGAAGGAAGGCGACAATAGGTAATGTTTAGGCCATCACTGCGAAATGGCTACTTTGATATAATCTCGCAATATCTTTTCTACAATCACGAAGTCGTATTCGACAACATAGGTTGTCCAACAGCTGGCACTGGATGAAGAGGTCCCGGTTGCGTTTTCCAGTAGGATCAATTCAGGAAACGAACTTTTCTAAATTGGTTCAGTTCTGGATATTCCGGGATTGCCCAGAATAAATCATTGTACAGGGAATTCCTTAGTTTGAGACCAGCCAATTGGTGAAGTTGTCTGGCACATTATTATTATTATTATTTATCTAAAATTGTTTATTTTAGATTCGTTCTTACACACTTCCCACTACTGTTTAAACATTCCAGGACAAGGAGAGTATAGTCATCGACAGGATAAGATATGACTATCAATTATAAGGAGTTCGGCTGGCGGTCACCTTGTGTGCGGCCTTATGCAGTGCCCGGACGAGAAGCTGGCGGTACTTGGCGGCGTCGTCGTGGTCGGCGCCATGCGCACGCGCTGCCTCCTTGCGCAGCACCTGCACCAGCTGTTCCGCGTGTGACGATGTCACCAGTTCCAAAGCTGTTCAAACGATCGATGAAATCAATCAATTAAACTGATCTTTAGAGCGATGCCACAAGATACGTTGCGTCGGCGTGGCGACGCCTGTGTTGTACTACTAATAAGTTAGGATAACATTTTGTTTTGTTGTGACGGGCTGAATGCTTGAATATTTCGTATACTATATGTGCGGAAGGGTGTGACGCCTGAGTGACATAACGTATTATGTCAGTTTACACTAGAATTTTCTTGAATTACTTCACCTAAATACATTTTCAAATATAAACAAATGTTAAACGAAATAATAAAATGTGAAGTTGGCCGTAAACTGACCACCTAATACAGGCAGTTCAAAGGCTTGCCTCGCCAACGACAATATAAGGCTATAGAGGCGGTTACGTTTCAATAAGGCTATACCTTGTGTAATTTGACAGTAAGGAACGCTCTATAGTCTGTTCCAATCCATTTTCAACGCTCTATAGTCTGTTGCAATCCATCCATTTACATTTGTAAACAAAACGTTTTGGTTGAATTTCTAAAGCAATCACTCAATAAATCGAATAAGTAACATTTTCACGCATATTTCGAAGATTTTGACTTGATATCTCATGACTTTTTCTAGCAATACTCATTTGAATAAAACCGTAAAATCGTATTTGTAACATGGTAGTCAAAAAGCGAGTTTATTATAAATTGAAAGATGTATCAATAGTCTTGAGTCGGTTGCATAAGGGCTGCATGGAAAAAACATTCAATTAAAGTTTTTGTAACTGATTAATAAATCGAAAATTTCAATCGCAATCGATCAAGTATGTAAGTGTAAGGATTTGAAGGAGGATTTCAAATTAAGATTTCGGAAATTTTAAATATGCTTTATAGGTTATGTAATGAAATGAAATGAATGAAATGAAATGAAATAAGTTTTATTTGCATTGAATAGGTTTTTTACAGGATGGTAGTTGTTACATTTGAGTAGGTACTGCTATTCAGCCATTATACAAAAGCATGCAAAATTTAGTCTTTTAGGTAGTCATTTACACTATAATAACCTTTTTTAATTAAATATTTATACAATTCAGATGTCATTCTTTTATATGTCAAGTTTTTTATTTCTATTGGCAACTTATTATAAATTCTCATGCACATATAATATGAACTTTTTAAGTACAGTGTAGTCTTAGGTATATTTTCAACGACAAGTCTATTTGGGTGTCTTTTCGCGCGTGGATTAACATCTATCGATTTTTTAAACAGTTGTGAATGCTCTTTAACAAATTTGCAAACTTCATATATATACATGGAAGGTAAGGTCAAAATATTTAAATCCTTAAACAGCGGCTTGCAAGATTCCCGTGGGCCAATGCCGCACATTGCTCGAATACACTTTTTTTGAGTTACAAAAGCTCGCTCTACATATGTTCCATTACCCCATATAATCAATCCGTAACGTAGTACCGACGCAATGTAGCCGTGATAGGCAAACAAGCATATTCTTTTAGAGGCAACTCGTCTCAATCCACGAAGGACGTACACAAATCTGTTTATTTTGCTGCAGATGCTGTCAATATGATTGGTAAAGCTCAGTTTTTTATCTATTAGAATACCCAAAAATTTTACTGTCTCTAAACTTTGTATGATCTTTCCATCATATTTTATAGTAATATTCATTGGTGTACGTCTCTTAACAGCAAATTGGACATATTTAGTTTTATCCAAATTCACATGTAGATTGTTTCTATTTAACCAAACTATTACAGATTTCATTGTGTCATTAATTTCGGCTTCATAATGATTGACGTCGTTATTATTTGAGTTGATGACTATTGCAATGTCATCTGCAAACATGACAATTTTGTGCTGAGTTATCAGGGGCAGGTCATTAATGTACAACAAAAATAGTAATGGGCCAAGTATGCTTCCCTGAGGAACACCAAACTTATTGAAATCATTAGTCGAACAGCATGTGGTAATATTTTTATTTTGATCCAGGTAGCTTAACTCCACCCGTTGCTGTCTGCTATATAGGTACGACCTAAACCAACTCAGTGCTATGCCCCTAATACCATATTTTTCTAATTTGGTCAGCAGTCTCTCATGTGCTACAAAATCGAAAGCTTGAGACATGTCTAGGAACAATACTGTGCTGTGTTTTTGTGTATCAAGAGCTTTGGTCACCATTCCGGCAATATTGAAAACCGCCTCAGCTGTTGATTTTCCCTTTTGGAAGCCTAATGAAAACCGCTAATATGACTCAATAAAAAAAATTAATTCATTCAATAAATTAATTGGTTTATAGTTGGCAGTAAACTTGGCCATCACTAAAACGTCTATGGTCAGGTCAGTGGCTTGCTTGTTTCTTTTTGCCTAAAATTTATTGAGAGGAAGTATAGTAGCCGCCATTAAGTTCTTACTTAATAACTGTTTACTAACCCAATTGTAATGTGCGCTTGCGCACGTCCAAGTCGGAGGACGCTAGCACTCTAAGAACATCCATGGCCAAATCGGGCAGCGCTCTTGTAGCCGCCTCGCCACCTTCTTCGCGTAACGCAGCTAGTCGCCCGACTACTATCAGCTTCACATTGTTATCGCTTTCCTTTACTATTAAATCGATGTAGCAAGCTGCAGCTGCCTGTGTACGAAACGCGTAGATGTGATATAATATACGAGTTAACCATGTTTGATGAAAAGGTTAATAATTATACATAAGAATCATTACACACAAGAAACACTGACTCGTTCCGTAACTCAGTTTGGTGAGCAGTAGTCCCGGGTTGGCGAAGTCGAGTAGCAGTGGAGCTCCGTGTAAAAGAGTTCGTTAAGGGAATTACTGCCACCAAGCCGTATTGTAAGCATTATTACTGGCACATGGGATTCGTTAACTATGCATCAAGGTGACGCGGGCGTACTGACAGTGCCCTTAAGACCATTTTAAACACAGTTTAAAGCTCTGTACGGCACCGCAACTGTTATGGACAGGCGTGTTTATTAACATCAGGCGACTTGTTAGTCCTGTCACTTGATATTATAAAAAAAAATGCTGATTCGAGTCCAGGGGATCAAAGGAATTTTGTTTGTGTTTGTTTGATCTTTCTTACAGTAAAAACTGAATGGATACATTCATAAAAATCGAATGACCTATAATATCATTGTCATTTATATTATAATTGTATTTCATTTCAAGAATTAACGATTCACTTAATTTTTTTTATGTACAATAGACTTCGCGTTTGTCTAAAAAAGTCTATCCATTCTAGCTTGGTTTAATGCTCTATTTGCTAAGTTGCAATTGAAGTTAATACAAAAATAAAAATGAAGTGTAAGGTACTCACTTTGATTGCAGCGGGCGCGTTCGATAGTGTGACGAGCGTGCCCGCGGCCTCGTACCGCACAGCGGCCGATGGCGCATTCAGCAGTCCATACACGGTGCGGATGAAGCGAGACCGTTCGCTAGGGTTCGCGTGGCAAACCTACAAATTATACATGTCTGATGTCATAGGTACAAGAAACATTATCCAAGAAATTTGACTCTTTAATTAAGATACTCAATCGGGATACACTTTACTAGCTGTTACCGGTGACTTGCTCTTTGTAGAATAAGAACTTCAAGTAGTCTACTGTACTATAATAACTTTCATAGTTTCATTGGTTCTCCAAACAAATTTTTATTCCTTATTTCACCCCCTTTAAGATTTATTGTTGTGACAAAAATTAGCCGTAGTAAGTAGTAATGTCCTTTTCCTAGATCCCTTATAACTCTATACAAAGTTCGTGAATATTGTTTCAACATACAAACATACAGTTGGGTTTGGGTGAACAACATGTAGAGTTACTTTCGGCATTTATCATATTAGTTTGGATGGAATTGACAGATATTCGATATAGTGTATGCATCAATTCACGTCCTTTTATTACGATTTATTTTAATGCAGGCAAACAAAAACAACAACGATCAAAATGCACAAGTATGACGTGCAATTATAATACTTACCTTGTAAATTAGTTCAACAATAACAAGTTGCAAGATATCCCCAAAACCATGGACTTGATCAAGCCGGGCCGAGAGATAGGAGAGGGCACGCTCTTGCTCTGCGTGTAGTAGCATGAGGAAAGCGTTTCGCTTGCACGACATGTCCTGCTCTTGTTCCAGGAAGTTCGCGATTAGCTCTGGCGCGTCCGGAATTAGGAACTCAAAGTTGCTGAAAATATTTAAGAATATTAAGAAGTAGAACAGTAATTTATTGCCACTAATTACGTTCATGGGGGCATGGACAGACAAATACCACCTTCTGTAAGTTTGCACATACATACATATACTTCAAGCCCTTTTCTTATCAGAGTAAACGGACACAACAGCCTTCCACTTGCCACACATCTTTTGCCTCATCAATACGCAGCAGGGGTTTCATACTTGCTATTCAGTCAGGGTACTCTTGACCTGGTCTTCCTAGTGACGTCCTCAATTGGTCATGAAAAGCTCGCCTTGATCAGCCATTATAAAATTGCCCACTCACACACTTCCTTTGTAAATCTGTTTTGTCAATCTTCTTTCATTCATTCTCTAAGCATCACTTTCTCGCACATTGTCACATTATCTTCTTTCACTATCTTATCACACTGTTCAGTAATTTGTCCAGGTTAGCAGAAATAGAATAAACTTTAACAAACAATAATTGGGACATAATACGACTATCAACTTGAAAATGTATATTTTAGGAATAAATAACATTTATAACATTGTCTAATATATAAAATAGGGCAGCACCAAAAACTCAAATTAAAAAGAAGAAGAAATATATACAATACGAGAGTGAAATAAAAGCTATTTTTAGTTATAGCATCAATAATATGATTAAGTAATTGTACTCACCGATAGATAGTAAAAATGGCAAGCACAGCATTTCTTCTCACATAAGAGTGACGGTGCTCAAGACAGGCACGAATTGCGGGCATTAAAGGCTCCAGCAATTCCGGCTCCTTCAACTTACAGAGGAACCGCAAGGTTGACCCACGAAGAAACTCATTGGGGTGTTGCAGATCCTGAAATATTATATTGTTTAAAAAAAATACGGGAGGATGAATGATGATGTTGAAAAATACAACTAATAATTTGATCTCTTATAATGTATGTTATAGGCCAAATCACACAAGGACTTAACACAACTAAAAGAGCAAAGAGATTAAAAAACTTATATCAAGGGTTGAATGTGAGCAGAGGAAATAAATAAAGGTATACTAGTCAGAGAACACAAAAGTTGAAAGCCTGTGTATACAAGTTATTTATTAAAATATATATCACATACAGTAATATAACATAAGAACAAATGTGGGATGTTTATGTAGTAAACACACAAACATAGATATACAGGAGTCTCCCTAGTGCCTTGCTATGATAGTGACTACTGGAGACATCAGATGCTGTTATAGACATTTAGCTGCAACAACTTGTCATTCAAGTTAACAGCCTTATTAGGCATCATTATATTGCTTGTCTATTTGCGATTCAAGTAAACATTATAACAATAATAGTGATTTATTAGGGGATTGTCATGGAAATCTAAAAATGCTTCAAATAACAGCCATTGACCTTTAATATTTAGCGTTGTTGTAGTAATTGATTCTTTGCTCTCAATATATTTGAGTTGCTTTAACAATCATACAAAGTTGTTCACAAGTTTTGTATTGTATCTACTGACCTTCCTGTAAGCATCGCAAACTAGGATCATCTCCTGCATCAGCTTTCCATCAGGCGTAGTCTTGGGGACAATTTCCCAAAAGATAAGCAGCAGTTTCTTAATTGTATGATCTTGCAACGGCAGCACAAAGCGAATTATGATCATAAGAAGCCCAGGGATTTTGTCTCCAGAGAGGATGATGCTAATTGCCTTTTTTAAGGCTTCTGTCTTCTTTTTTATGTCACCTTTTTCTGTTAACATAATATAACAGTGGAGATAGTTAAAGTACATAGAAAAAATATATCTGCCATCAATATACAGTTATTTATATACAATCAATGTGTTGCTCTAAATTTCTATGCACAAATGTATATGTGATGATGTGTTCATTGATATTTACAAATATAATATAGCTCATGTGCATGAGATAAAAAGAAATTATTTAAATGGCTACAAACACAAACTTATGATGAGACCAAAAAAATTTTGTTAATATAATTATGCTGTTTGACGCTTTCGCCTTCCCCTTAATTTACTTAGTATTAGTATTTGTATGTATCAGTGTTTGCATAAAGTACAATACATAAATAGAAATACAAAAAAAATAAAATTCTCACTGTAAAACAGCACCATCTATACACTTACATTACATTAACATATTCTACACACATCCTCATAACCGATTGTAAAAGATTTGCAATTTTGTTTACTGGCAGAGGATCATCATTAGCTCCCAAAGCACAGAGTTATCCTAGTTTGAGAACTGATTGGTGGCCTGTCCACTGCTTTTTGTCAATTTATGTACAACCATAATTTGTATGTTTTTTGTCACCTATGATGTTACTGTTGTACTGAATAAATTATTATCATTATACAATAAAAAGGCTTATTTAATATTATTAACATTGGTATGTCCACCACCTTCAAAAGTAGAATATTCAGAGTTAAATGTATAAGAATAAGTTTTAAAAGTACGACACTAATTAATCATTAATTTAAACATATTAATAACATACTATAATAATATAATCTCAATACAGAGTACTAAAAAACTGAACTTAAATGTCATTCATTCACTAGTTTGTCACTCTTAAAGGTGGAATATTTACTTCAAATTTAAAGTGACCACTACTGAGGTACCCTCTTTCCAACAAAAAAAAGAATCATCAATAGCTGGAGTTATCACGTAACACACACACAAAAAAAACATACTGTCGAATTGAGAACCTCCTCCTTTTTATGAACTAGGTTAAAAATAAGTAACTATGTTATTATACCTGTCACACATCCTGCAGTCATACATGTGTACATAATGATTATAAAAAATTTCAATGAAAAGGCAGATAGGTGAGTAAAAACACTGTGACTTTAGAGTACTATAGTATCAAAATCTTTAGGAATTTGTCTCTAATGATTGTACATAGACTTGCAACTGGTTTAAGAGCATTATTGACATTCCAATAGAGTTAACTACATTAAAAAGAGCTTAGCTGAGACATTATCATTTCAAATTGAAATAATTCTGCACTTCAAGTCTTACCCAAATCATGTTTAAGCTGTAATTCATTGTAGGGCTCTGAATCTGTTGGGAAGTTGATGAGAGTGTAGCACGGCTGCTCTACTCCCGCCATGCTGGAAGTATTATGTACACATTAAACTATAATATCTTACTTTCTTAAACATTAAGTGCAAAGGAATACAATAAGAGAACTTTTATCACTAAAATTGCTTGGCAGATGCACATTCCAAAAAGAGCTTGTTGTTGGTCTAATCCACACAAGTCTCGAAGACAGGTAGATGTTTCTTTCACTGACAATAGTTTTAAATCATGTTTCCAAACAGTTTTTGAAGTGTAAATGCAATAAAACCTGTGTAGACCACGGTATCCGGCCTAAAACACAATGAACATAGTCTCACCTGATTTCGGCGAACTTTTAATGGATCACCGAATGGTAAATATGTTTATTAGATTTGCCGACACTGGCACTAGTGTATGGCTAATTAGTGAACACACATTCACGTAAATTTATGAGAAATTAACCCAAATTGCTAAACTGTGAAGCGATAATACGTGTCCACATCCACACACGCCAAATGTCAAATTGACGTTTATATTGTATTCAGTAGGGTTCGCGGTTGTTACGGTGCATCTGGAGATAATCGGACCGATTTGTTAGCCGACTCAGCGATGCATTATGATGTCGGCATTTTCTAAGTTTCCTATGGAGTGTTGGTGGAGTTGCGTTTTTGCATAATAATCTTTGAAATCTTTTATTTTTACCTATTTTCTTAAAGCCGTGTGCGCCGAAGTCTTGCAGCTTTAATAATATAAGTCAAGAGCACATCAAGCTTGACACTTTGTACTTTTGTACTTTGGACTGTTCTTATCGTAAACGGCGTAGAGATTGATAGATTTAAGCTTAGGATTTAAGTCTTAAGTGTCAAGCTTGACGTGATCTTAACTCTGTATAACAAACAAAATGTTAAAATATACAGGGTAAGATTACTGACTGACACAGGGTTATTTTTAAAACACAACGCAGGACTATATTCCTGACAATTTATACAAGAACTTTTGTTCTACGACTTTTCACAAAACCTAATAAATCTATCAATAATCAACCTTTAAGTTTTTTTTGAATGGATAACGCGGCGGCGCATGCCGATTCATAACAATGTTTTCGTGACAGGTTTTATTTCGCAACGAGTTGCCGGGAGTTAAATTTATTTATCAATTATTCTCTCGAATAGCTGTGTAGTGGATTGTTTTATACGGTTTAGTGTAGGTATGTTGGGCAACCATCTGACATCAAAGCAAGCTTCGGGCACGTTATCATCACACCTAGCGAGTATTCGCATTCTTTCCGTGTACTCAACGGACTGATCGTACAGGTTTTTAATAACAGTGAACTCCTTGTGAAAGAGATCGTTCATGGAAATACTGCTACCTTACCTATTTCTGCCGCCAAGCAGTAAGGTGAACATTATTGCGTTCTGGTTTCGAAGGGTAAGCGTGATGATGAAATTGCAGGCACACGGGACTTGTCAACTTATGCCTCTGGGTGTCGGGCGCAGTTTCAGTGCCCCTCGATCTTTGTAATTAAAGCTCCGAGTGGCACTGTAATTGTTAGGTTCTGCAGGCGTGTCGTTTACCACCAGCACACGACTTGTTCGTCCCGTCACTTAGTATTATATAAATAAAATAAAAATAAGGTAAATAGGTCAACCGCCCTCTCCTTGTAGCCTATTTACTTACGCTATCGCTTGCGCTTTCTTTTGATAATGCCTTTGACCTTGTGGGCCAATAACGCAGAGTCGTGGTTATTTAGAGCTACCGGTTTAAATACTTTTATTTTTATATGAAAGTAAATTCTGATGAATTACAAAGTCATGGAACAAAAGCAGTTGTTTATGATGTTAGTAATATGTCCAGGGAGGTTATTCGTATCTTGAAAGTAACCCTGTATAGTATCAGTGATATATCAACAGTACGGTAGGTACTTTGCTTTGCTTGAGTAAATGAGTAATACATACACATTGTATACCGTCACGCCTCTCTCTCAATATGGTTGACAGAGACCACGAGCCTCAACGTGCTACGCTCCAGACAAAACTCTTTCGCTTTCAGACTTCCACTACTAGGATTATTTTTAAACTCCAAGTTTTGAAATTATCCAACTTTACAGAAGTTGACGATTGCCTTATTATAATTATACTTTTGAACTCACTAGTTCGGAAAGGCTTTCTTTCTCATTAGAAACCAGCGTGCTAAAACGTTTTATCCGTAATCGTTTTAGCGCGGAAAAGGTTTTTGACATTCGAACTTGACGATGGGCTATATGGTGCACAGGGTGCACCTAACTTTCTCTTTCAATGAAAAAAAAAAACATAATGACACGTTCAACAATGCGACTTGTCGTACATTATCTAAGTAACATAAATCTGTTGGTATATTTGATTTTTGTTATAGTTAGTTTACATTAAACTAACAATGATAACTAAATTTTGTTTATAAAAACCTTAGAGTATGTTATCTTTTTTCCATCCTCTAAGCTAAAAACTGATTTAATATAGTTAAACTGTCGAGCGAATGTTCGCCTCGTCTCGTGATGGTGAGGTGAAAAGTTGTGTGTTTCGCTCGGCAGAAAAGTTGTTTTGCATCTCGTGTCTTGAAACACTTACAGATTCAGTTTTTCTGAAAAATATAATTAATTCGAAATGGAAATTTTCCCATGACCCATGACATGATCCAGCATTAGTCGCACGCACCTGTCGTGTCGTACTCACAGAACACTATACATACATACTCGGACGTACTAGCGTTGCTGAAGTGCTAACACTAGCATTAAGACACCGAGATGAGGTGGAAATAAAACGTGCAACAAAGATAACAGTATAAGAGCAGAAAATGTCTTTGTCCTTTTTTACAGCTTCTTACACAAACATGCAGTAAAGCCACATAATTTGTGCATTTTTGACATATTCAAATTAGTTTTCGCTTTGGGTTTTTGCGAGAGATTTTTTTTTATGAATTTTCTCGTGTTTCTTCGTCAAAAGTTAATTAGCCGGCACTTTCGTCATTTCTTTGCAAGTAAATGTCCTAATTTCGAAATGGATGTGTTGGTTACTTTATTTTACATTTTGTTTTGTATTTGCGTTGTTTATCCCCCCACTGAATTCGTTTCTGCCGGTTTTACAATCGCTCAGCTGTTTGAGAATTACTTGGGGTCCGAGAATGTCAACTTTATGGGGTATCACATGAAACGGATGTCGATTACAGTGGTGATTCACTCAGCATTGCCTCTGGGTTACATCTTTTGCTTGTGGTGCGGCGGCGAGAGAGGGCAATGGATGCTGGCGGCGGCGGCGGGCATGGCAATCATTGCGCTACTAGCTATTTACAAGATGGTGTGCTGGTGGGAGCAGGACAAGAGCAAACACCCAGCAGTCAAGGCATTGCTGCCATATGTGACACCAGGCAGTGATTGGAGAGTTGTTGCTGCTAATTTGAATACTGAATTCAGAAGGTATCATTTTCTATACAGTGACTACCCATAAAGGAATAGCTCCATTATAAATAACAAAAAAAAGTGTGGCTAGCATTGAACAAAGAAAAGGAAAGAACTAGCAGAACATAGTTTATTATTTGGAAAGAAATTCAAACTGACCTATCACATTTTAATCACAGTGCAATTTAGTAGTGGTTTCCCCATCGAATAAACATTTATAGTGTAAGCGTTTACTATGTGTTTACATGTTTATTTGGTGGGATACAAAATTCTTACTAGAGGTGGTCATTATTATAACAACAGATTACGCAATGCATTATTCTTACACAATGTACAACTCATTATCTGTCTAAAACAACAACAACAACTGTCTAAAGTTGCTGTTGTTATGCTGCTACTTATTACACAAGAAGATCATAAGTTATGAAAAATGTAAGAAATGTAATCCTCTGGCCACACTACACAATATTAACTTGCTACCATTGTCATATTACTTGTATACAAAACAGCATAATAACAGGTTTTCTGACAACAGTTACAATAACAATTGTTGAAAAGTGTATTAACAGTATAATTAATTATTGATTAATAGCTGTTTTTGCCTTCCCTAGTTCTTAATAATTGTGATTATAATACAATTGATCAGTTGATTCTTTATGCAAATCAACTATAGTATTGTTTGTGTTTATGGGATTTTAAGATAATTTATTATAATTTCTTGTGACTTATTTTAGTGTGGATAAGGTGTCAGTGCCCCTGACAGCAACAAGCAAGTTTGTAGCGACAGAGACATGGCTCATCAAAGTGACACAGTACAACTTGAATGTGGTGAAACAGAGTGATTGCGCTTTGGTAGCAACAGCTGTAAGTAATTCTAAAATTTACCTGTAATATATGTGTGTTGCAACTTCTAAATAGTACAATTTAGATACATTGGTTTGGTATTGAATTTGTCAGTATTAGTTAAGTTCACAGACATATATCTAGATAGACACTGCAAGTACAGCAATTGGTATAAAAACCAAGTTTGCCATATTTTTTGTAACCACTATGATGTCACGAGATCTATTTAGTAATGGAAACCTCCTTCCGCTCACTCTAAAGTGATTGATTGAACGGAATATGCATAAACATGCATAATCCATTCAATTAATCAATTCTAAATAGAATAAAGAAAAATGTAAAGGGCCCCAAACGTCAGTTTGTTTGAAAAAACAAATATTTAAACGACACGATTTAAATCTGGAAAAATAGTTTCATTTCCTAGAATGATTTTTGTTCAAGTATTTATTGATTACAAGTAGTCATAATATTAATATAATAGAAAAATACTAGTAGTTAAGTCCTTTATTTTACTTGATTTTAAAAATGTTGATTAGTTAAAAAAATTAAGACTTAAATTTTTTTAAACTTCAAATATTAAAATTATTGTCCTTCCAATAAAATGAGCTTATTATATATCATCTTTTTGTTATAGATCTTATCAATTAACTTACATAATGAAAACGCTTGTCAATATTTGAACTTGCGACTGCCTTAATTAATTTTACTAGATGGTTTTCTGTTGGTAATTGATCAAATTGATGAATGGCAAGACAAATGAAAATGTTACTGCTGACAAAATATGGTAAAATCTCATTAATCAGAAGAGGTTTACTTAATGATGGCCTTGTGTGAAATTTTTGTGATTTGTTTATTATTTCTCGGATTTCTGACTCTGCTACTCTGCATATTTGGCTTCTCTTCTGCATATCTGCATACATAATTAACCTAATTATGTTCTCATACAGACTGATAGCCACAACTTGACTCCATCGGGCGAAGACGAAGTTCAGTACGTCAACATAGAAGTCATCCCATCACGCGATGATATCCTCCGTTTTTCATTCCGTATTTCGACAACTGCTTTACGCGACTTGCAACCGAGATTGGCACAGCCAGTGAGGGTTCCAGAACATATATCACTGTTGCCTACACTGATTGAGAGATTTGTTACTGTTTTTAAGCAACATGTTGAACAAAATCCAGTTTTCATGGTTGATCAGGTTAGTATTGTTATTGAAATTATTGCACTGAAAATCCCTTGAAAAAATTACATCAACGATGTAATAATAGGTACAATTTCTACTGGCAAACCCACCAAACTTAGATAACCTGAAAACTATAAACTAAATATACATATAAGTAAGTATTCAACATAGTAAAATAAGAGAAGTATGGTAATTCCGTACAAAATAATAGCGCGGCTTGTGTGTGCGCGACCGCCACGCGCACTATACGCACGCACACATAATAATGAAACGCACGTTGGGACGATGAATGTTAAGCAACGCTAGTGTATCGCGAGATTATTCGAATGTGTGTGTCATATACAACCCGCTCTGCTGCGTTTATATGGAGTTACCATACTTTTCTTATTATGCTATACATTCAAAACTTAACAACATTTGATGTGCAGATATTTTCGGTTAGTTTGCAATCGTCAAACTATTACAGACACTATGAAGCTGATTGTAGAGATGGCGGCACATCACTACTACACATTGACAAATCTTGTTCCATTGTACTGGAGGCGAAGTTCGAACAAAAGTGTATAACTTGACGTGCTGTTGACTGGACAAAAGTTGTTGAGTAAACAGTTTTGCATACTAAGGGTGTATCACAATAGATCAGTTGATGGTTGCAGTGATGAGGGTATGGAAGATTCTTCACGCAAGGGCAGATGCGAACGGATGGGTAGTCGCGTTCGCTTTTGATGACCCATCTGTGGAGAATCTCCGTGCCTCAAATTGCCGTGTATCACAATAGATCAGTTGATGGTCGCAGTGATGAGGGGCCTCATAGACCCCGAATGAAGCCACCTTAATAATAATACTAAGTGTATACACAGCACATTGTCGCCTTACTTTCTGAAATTCATATCTTATAAAGCACAATATTACTGAAATGCAAAAAATGGATTGTATATACAAATTTTGCAGGTTGATTTCACATCACATTTCCTTCATATTCACATACTGGCTTTTACCTATAATATGAAGTAGTGCGTCCAAATTAACAACTTTATTATTATTATTAGGGTGGCTGCATTTGGGGCCTATGAGGCCCCTCATCACTGCGACCATCAACTGATCTATTGTGATACACGGCAATTTGAGGCACGGAGATTCTCCACAGATGGGTCCTCAAGAGCGAACGCGACTACCCATCCGTTCGCATCTGCCCTTGCGTGAAGAATCTTCCATACCTCAGTGCGGAGACCTCTATTTTGGGCCCCCAACAGGCTGATGGTCATCTGCACCGACTCACATCCCTTCTTGGGAATGTAAGTGGTGGCGGTGGTGGACTTCGGAAGCTCGCTTTCCTTATTCAAGGACAGCTGGGCTTCCGACCACGGCTTCAAATTTGTCGATCTTTCCCACAAGCCAGTCTGCACTTGCTTGGTCCTTGCTGGTCACAAGAATCTAGCCTGGTTTGTGAGAGAGGCCCGAACTTTGGTCCCTCGCCATGCGCTGTTGTGCTCGCTATGGTGCGGACCAGAAACAGTTCCACCAGCTCCATTTGCTCCTCTGACATGGGTTCCGAATTCCGGATACCCACGCGCAGGGAGCCCGCCATTTCGCTGAAAGTTGGTCTATTCCTGCTTTCAGCTGAATTAACACCCTTGTTAAGAAATTAAAAATAAATGGAAAGTTTTGCCATTTCCTGAATAAACACTCTTTATAAGATATAAGTTTGAGAGTATAAGGCATCGATATTCCATATTCGTGACGTCATAAACAATGATAGATGTTTTACCACAAGCACACACAATATAAAACAATAAAGAAAAACACACACAACATCGAAATTTAGTGTCTACATTGATGATAATACAGAACTAATGAAAATAAAAAATAAAGAAATAGAAAAAAAAATTAAATATACATAAATATAACACAGCAGCAATCTGAATAGATCAAAGCTTAGTACAAGAAGCAAAGCAGTGATTTTTTTGTAATAGAATTGAATAGAAATACGTGTATTGCTACGCCACAATATAAAGATATAAAAAAGAGATTAATGATATGTAAACATACGAAATAAAAATAATTTAAAAAAATTGAAACAACAAAACAAATTAAAAAAAAAAACAGAAAGCAATATACTAATTATAATGAATATTACAATTCACATTGTCATGTGCCTGTGGGGTGTGCAACAAAACCTTATTTAACTATAACTTATTTTCAGCATTTCCTTCAAATGAATTGTAGATAGTTTTAACGTTTCAAGTGCTCCACGACCCGTATCCATACGATGCTACAAAGCGTTAATGCAAGATATTACTGTCGCAGGAGCCCGAACTATGCATTGGTTGTATGCAGGCGCCAGCCGATGTGAAAATTAACCGGCGTTGTCTGCCGCCACCGGCGCATCTGCAAGGCGGCCCACCGCAATGCCAGCAGTGCAACTGCAGGTGACGTATTTTCAAAAAAATTACTGTTTATGGTACCTTGTAATGAGAGGGTAGGGTGTCTTTGCCAATGCATAGTGCTCAAATGTCCCGTCATATAAAACATTTCGAGTGAAGCTTAGCATGTCATGCATTTTAATTGACCAAGACTGTGCCAACTTTGTATAATTTTGGAAAAAAATTCTTAAAGTTCTTAGTCCTTCTATTCTCAAAAAACACATTAATAGACTCAAACAGTAATTATAGTACTAATTATTTTTTATTTTAATATGATTTTAACAGGAATGTACAGGAATGTTTATGTAGCTTTTCCAAAATGTTAAGAAAACGAATTTTTCCTAGAAACGGATATATTATTTCGCGTTAGCAGAAGACAAAAATCGTTTTTATATGTAGTTAACATACCTACTATTCTCACAATGAATACAGAGCGGTTATTTGCCATATGGTTGTTGTAAATCAGAGTGCCTGAAATTTTGTTAGAAGCAAAATTTTTGGAGCGTTCAATTTAAATAATAAAATTTTGAATCAAAGTTTCAGGCGTTCTGAATTTAAAAAGGATTAACCCTGATCTGTCCGTTACATTAGATGTCTGTTACATTTACCAGATAACTGCAATCAACTACTTAGTCCGATACGTCACTCATTATTCCATTACAATACTCTTCTCGATTCAGGGTAGGTATATTTGTTATATGCATATAGAGGATTGCATCACACTCAACGACGGGAACTCATAAATGATGAACTCACACCAAGTCGTCAGGCGACTTTTGCTTGCTCGCCGAAGGCGGCAAGCTACCCTGTGCAAATAGTGAGCCTTCTGACGAATGTAGTTTACAGCCGGAGTCGACGGCAACGACACAGTGCATCGCCTTCGGCAAGGCGAAATATTCTGCCCAATACCCGGTGGACGACCTAGTTTAAATGCGCCATGAGATGAAAAATGCGTTAGAAGATCATTCATTCATTCAATTACAGGGTTATTTTTAATATACTAACAATCTCGCAGTATTTACTTTTAATAATTCATTACAAGTTTAATAGATCATTAAATAGATCGCTCTATACGGTAATAACTCTGTAAAGGACGGGGATGGGAGACGTCGCGGAGGACGTTTGCAAGTTTGAACTTACCTTACTACAATCAATAAGGTGTCAGATAGTACAACAAAAACTAAAAAAATATTTTTGGTAAATTTATTATGTTTTGTAAAAAGTCATGGAACAAAAGTTGTTGTTTATGATGTTATATACTAATATAGCCCAGTGAGGTTTTTAGTATTTAAAAAATAACCCTGTATATAGCATACATAATCACATACGACCTATATAGTAATTTATTATAATTTTTTTTCTCTTTGTTTTTACTAACTTAGCGCATAAAATTGTTATTAACAAATATGGACTAAGAATTTGAAACTGATAATATATAATTATAAATTTCTGTTATACATGAAAATAGCATCCAAATATAAAATTATTATGTACTTTACATAAAATTGATATGGGTTTCACCACTTGTTCCTCTGATAGCCTCAAATATTCGGCACTTCCATTCAAGTTCCAATAAAGTACGGTGTGTTATAGGGTATTGTGGTGCTGCGCTTGCATGGCGCGTTGGTGGGCGGCGCGGGCGGCGGGTGCGGCCAGTGAGTGGCTCAGCGGACGCTGCACCTGTCCTGTCTGCCGCTCCGTATTCTGCTTACTCGACGTCTGTCCGGCAAGGCAGAGTGCATCGTAAATAAATAACACTTATTTTTCAAACGTTCCGTTCTTGGATTCTTGCTAGATTGCATTATTCCAATGTCATAACTGTAGTCCTGATTTTCTATGCAAAGTAGCACTTTGAACATCATGCCGGTAAGCGGTTGCCGAAATCTTCTCATAGCTACTAACCATAATTAACTTTTAATATCCGCATCATTTTGACTTCCTTATAAATAGACAAAATTTGTATGAAATGATTTATGAAAGCGGCATTAAAAAATTTCTTTATACATACAGTGGTGGTCGTATAATTAGAAACACTACAAACGGTCCTTGACATTATGTAAGAAACTTCACTGCAATCGTTTTTATTTTGAAATTAAACAATAAATAGGACAACATTAGGTTCAACGATTTATTATTTATTAGAAAAACTATAATTAAAAGCACTGTTTACAGGACGTCTAACATAGCGCTTTCCATCTGAATTTACCATGTTTATTTTCGTTTCATCTGAAAATAAAACTTTTTTCCAGGCTCGTACCGTCGAATTAACATATTTTTTTCGAATAATAATCGCTTCCAATTTAGCTTCCACTAATCTTCGGCGTATCAGTCTTGATGAAACGTTTCTGGGGTCATCGGGCGAAAAAACTTCATTTTTAATCTGGTTTGAGCCTTTAATTGGGTCTTTTTTAGCAGCACGAACGATTAACTTACCTTCTCTGGGAGAGGTTTTTCTTGGCCGAGCCTTTCTAAGAACATTTTCAACAGTTCCATGTGTTTTATAGTGATCAATTGCATTAAAAACTTTCTTCACAGAACAATTTAAATGCTCAGCTATTCTTCTGTACGTCCACTTTTGATCTAAATGTAAATTAACAATTATTTGCCTAGTTGACGCGTCACAACTTTTATTTTTGCCCATTTTGAACAAAATTAAATTGAGATCAAATTTTGAATTGCCGCCAAATTAATAGAAAACATCAAGGAAGAAATGTTATTCTTCGATTTCAAAAAAAGAACGAGCTATAGATGCTTTTTTCAAATGTTTCTAATTAGACGTCCAAGCGGCCAGGAACAGAAAATATACTCGTACATTGTGTAAGACTCATTTTATAATTAAAAGTAAGATGTTTTATTTTTTATGCATTTAATGATTTTTTATTTGAGTGGGTATATTATTGCCTGATTATTTATTATTGAATTTATATATTTTTCACGAACATTTGTACGTTGAAGTTAAACTTCCTTCAATCATAAGAAGTGTTTCTAATTAAACGATACTTAATTCCACTTGCGCTTGCGCTCAATATTCTGGCATTTGCACGTCTTTAGAATGGAACACTGAACCTCATACTTAAGTGCAATTTGACCTTTTGTTCGAATTATATTATATCTTCTGCAATATTTACTTAGGTCATTTAATATTCAGTAAAGAGCAGAAGTCGTCGTAGCATAATAGTTTGACCTACCGCTTCTCAAGCAAAGGCCGTGGTTTAGAATCTTGGCTCGCACTTCCGGGATTTATGTGCAAAATTCAAATTGAAATTTACCATTAGTTTTTCGGTGAAAGACAATATCGTGTTGAAAACTGCACATTGAAGAAGATTCACAACCCTTGGAAAACGTATTAAGACCCCAAGACCTCATTGGACCAACGTGGCGGACTATGTCCTGTGACCAGAAGTGAAACATAAACGAGTTGATGCCGAAAGAGAACGTAGTAGTAAAAATTTTATATGTCAATTGTGAAAAAAATAAAGGTTACTTTGAAAGAGTGAACGACTTAGGTATCATGGCAGACATCTAACGTTATGCAACTTATAAAAATTCATGCAAAGCTATTCAACTTTCTATACAAATCCATGAAACAATCAGAAGAAATAAAATTACGCCATAACACATAGACTAAATAAGTTAAGTTACTTACCTACTATGTTTATCGAACTAAAGCAATCCTTCGAGTGCCACTTCACTGTTTTTACTTTCTATAATATACGCTTCAATCGATATTAAGATGTGAGTTGCCGATAGGTTCGTATTAACGCGGTGAGTATCGTATGACGCCATCAAAAATTAAATATCGTCCACCACTGTATGTACTATATTATAATTGTATTTATTATACATGAACATGTTGGTTCGCCAATAACGTTTTGCTCATTAGAAGTAGGGAATTTCGTTGCCAAAGTTGAAAATGTTGTAGGTGTTTATGTTACGCTGATATTTGTGTTAGAATTAAAAGTAGCATTTATTATTATAGTAAAATGCTCAAAGTGGAAAAAAAAGTAATAAAAAAAAATACCTTTGTCATTTGAGTGATTTGTGGCTGCAATATGACAAAAGTTAGACGTTATCTACTGTTGTATGTTGTATGTTATATACTGTTGTATAATTGGCAATGTTGATAGCAAACAAGTGGATTTTCATATTTATTGTTAAGTGTTTCCAGCAATCGTGGAATATTGCAAATCATTTTCCTGCACAAAATATGTTTATGAATTTGAGTTTTAATAAGAATTTTACTGCAGAGAAATCTATCGACAGCTGAAATATTAAGTTTTAAGAATATGTAGTATAAAAACTGTACATGACATTACCAGAGCATACAGACAATAAGCTTCCCAAAGCTAACTTTAAAAATTGTTTTACTAATATTTTTTTGCTTTAGAAAAAATAAAATTTGTTGAAAATTTACTGGACTGGAGAGTAGGGTATTTGAGTAGCGTAGTAATAAATCCTTTTCGTTATAATAATATAAATTGTGAAAAAAAAAAAAACAAAATTAAAATAGGTTGAAAAAGAAAATCAGTCATACCGTAATTAGGAAAGAATTCACTATTTTTGTTTGAGATGTCACAACCTTAATGGCGCCATACAGGTTCCATACTAATGGTTGACTTCAATAATGAATTACTCTGGTGTTAATTCAGATATTAAAAAATGGATTTTGACATAAAGTTTCAGCATGTTAGTTTGTTTTATGATATCCAGTGACGGAACGAACAAGTCGTAGAAAGAAATAATAATTATGGTGACAGTCACAGAACAATTGTTTTTTTTTCTTACGTTGTGGCAGTACTTTTCCGGGCGAACTTTTTCATAAGAAACACGAGGACTTACCATGAACTGTTATTACGATTTAGTTTAGGACCTAAAATCCTAAAAAAAGGACCTAAATCGTTGTGAGACAGCGCTACATGAAGTGTATATCACCATCCCGCTTTTTTGTCGTTACAAACCTATACTGAACTGTAATAAGAGTTCATGGTAAGGCCCCAGGGGCCTGCTATTAATTAGAATTAGAGTTCAATGTAGCGATAAAAATAATTCGAGTCCAATACCCTATCCTGTACGTATTTTCAATTATATCATTAAGACATTCTGTATTCTATTCTATTGCACCCTATTCTATTAGCTGAGGAATACATTGTCTGTGTGTATTTATTGTGATGTTGTAGTTCGTTTATTGGTGTTGTTACTTATTGCATACGTAAGTTCTAAATTTATTTTAACAGAATAAAATATTACTTACAAATAAAATAATAATAATTTTAATGTAATGTACGGGCAACAGCACATCAAACTACACATTTATGTTCGAAAATCGCCTCCAGTGCAACGAAACAAGATACGTCAATGTGTAGTTTGATGTGCTGTTGACTGTGTACGTATCGTTATGATTTCCTAAATTATGAATTTTATGGTGGGCATTTTTTAATGATTTTTTTAACCAAGTCGCGCCGTCGACTACTACCTCAATCATTGACCTAGTCAATAACCTCAGTACATTAGTTAGTTCATTTGCATCCGATTTCTTCCTAGGTATCGCTATACCGTCACACATGCCGAAATTAATATATTTTTAATTTACAAAAATATTGCTTACCATTTTGTAAACACTGATGTGGTTGCAGATAAGTTATTTCAGATTTAAATAAAATCGAAATTTAGCCGCATTACTTCAGCGTCTTCCAATAAAAATTTTATAATTTAAATATGTGGAATGCGTCGAAATGACATGGCTGAATTTAGGTAGATCTGGCGCCAGATTAATATGACGAAATAAAAATAAATTAAAACAATTGTTGAATATCACGCTCTTTTACTACCATGACATAATTTTTTTGTGAAATTACTCCACTAGTTTGTTATAATTATTAATACAAGGATCGAACACTAAGAGAAATTCCTTTGATCATATAGAATATTAATTAATGTTATTAACTTAATGTGGTTTGTGTGTGAAATACTTAAATGAACTTTTTGTATGTTTATTTTTTAAATTAAAATATGAAGTGTTCTGTATCTAAAACTAAAGATACAGGCTTTTTTATTTTCTCCTAATGAAATAGAACGTGTAAGGTACAACATTATGGTAAGACCGGCAGATTTTCAGGAGATGATCGCGCTTAAAAACTTTGTACAAGGTGGAAAAGATCAATGGGGCATTAAGGGAAACTAAAATAGCTAAGATTATAGCTAATTTTACTTAAAGGAAATATTCATTTATTTTTCTTAATAGGTATAACTTGCATTCACAGATTTTTTGAAAAATGTATGTAAGCCGGGAATCAAACCCAACTAAAAATGCAAAAAAATATACAAATGTTTTTTGCGTGTGTTTGAAATACTTTTGACCATACTTCATGATATATTGCGTCTTAAAGTCTGCTCTTGTGATATACCGACCAAAGTTTATACGGAGAGATTTTATCCCTATGAGTGGTAAGGATAAAATCAACAGGATCACTGACAATAGTTAACAGGATCACTGATAAAGATAAAATCTCTCCGAATAAACATTTGTCGATACATCCCAATAGCAGACTTCAAGGCGCAATATATCATCAAGTAAAGTCAATAGTATTTCGAACTTGACACAAAATTTAAGTTCGACTCTACTGATGACGGTAACAATGGTCCAAAGTCCTTAATGTCAAGCATGATGCGTTCTTGACTTTAATTCATTACTTCCATACAACTGCAATTTGATCATATTTTTAATGTTATATGTAAGGATTTTGATAAATTTTGAAAGTAATGTAGAGCCGTGACTCATTAGTTTGCTATTAAATAGTATAGATGCAGAAATTACCTACATGGGCTCAAAACTCTTAATTTTTGGCCAAAAAGACATACCGTGAGTAGTTTTCAAGATTATAAGTTTATGTGACTGTTACATAATGAAAGGCATTAAAATACGAGTGCGAGTGTTTTAATGCCTAATTATGTACAGTTACATACACTGCTTTATCTACACACATATTATTAAGCTCTCAGTGATGTGTTCAGGAACTGCGTGTTCGAAATGGCGACAAATAAAAACTTTTCTCATTTTTTTCTAAATTTATTTATAAAGCATTGGCTTCAGAGCCATCAGCTTACTGGTAACAAATAATCAAGAAATGCACAACGTAATATACTTAAACTAAAAACTGAATTCGTATAAAAAATGAAACAACTAAAACCTGCCATTTTTATTTTAATTACAACCGTAGTTTTTATTTTTGATTCCTAGACAAACTAGAATCGGCCCCAACTATCATATCGTTCGATA